ATGAAGGACTGGTCTATTCCATAGGTCACATTCAGTGATACATTCCCATACCCCTTTTCACTACAGTCAAGTGCTTGCTGGCCCGCTTTCTGCAATGACTTATCTCATATAGCCTTGCAGCTATAACTATTAGGCTATTTTCTTCTATTAAAGTGGTATTGCTACTGTTGTGGTTTTGCCACTATGTACTGTGTCAACATGTAGACAAACCCCCATTAAGAATTCGTATTGCCAGGGACAAAAGCTACCAGGCATTCCAGATCAAAGCCAAGCATGACTCACCAAACTTGAGGCCTCCACTGTATTGCCTGAATAAATCCAATGCCTATTTATGCATAAAAAGCAGTTCTTTCCAGAGCTATTCAAATGCCAGAAATAAGAGATTATTATGACTTCATGTCATGTTGAAAGACAGGTGGAGGAGAGCACAATGTTTGTGTTGGATTCAAATGTCTGCTGAAATCATTCCTGTCATTGCTAATTGATGTTGCATCTGTCTTTAGATTGTGACTATTGAAAAAAAAATGCTGAAGATCTTATTCAGAGAAATAATTACAGTTGTACACTGGTAGATATAAAATTAAAGTACATGGGGGGAAGGGAGCTACATCCTATAATTTACCAAATTCCTAAGTCCCTGAAAAATAATTAGATGCTGGGCAGCATGCAGGCCCTGCTGCACAAGCTGCTGTCAAGGGGATAGCAGTGGTCAAAAATGGGCCTCTGGTTCTCATTTATTCCATCCAGTTTTGCTTTTCTATTGTGTTTGGTGTATTAGTTCCCAACTATCTAGGGACAAGACAGAGAAACCATGGCAGGCTTTATGAGGAGCTAGAGTTGTAATCCCCAAGCATGAGTACAGTTGCACAAGTAAGCTGGAGAGGGGAAAAAAGGGAATTCTGCTTATGGCTGGCTTTCAGGAATTTCATCCTCCAAAGTCCTTCAGTGTGGTATAGTTACAGGCACTAAATCTCCACTACTTTGACAAACTTTCATTGAAGCCATTGAAGATTATTAATGGAAGCAGTATATGAAGTAGCTCTTCAACAGATGTCTTACATCCCAGTTGTATAGCTTGGGTTTGTTTTTTTCCTTTTTCTTGCTCCTTTTCATGTTGGTTGTGTGGCTGTTAGCTGAATCCATCACAGCTTGATTTGTAAATTTTAATACAAAGAACTGACTTCATCTGGTAAAAATTTATGCTGCTCCATGTAAGCCAGACACAAACTTATATCATATTGAGTCACCAGACACACACTTCTCTAGCCACTATGGAGCAGAGCTGGACTACAATATATGATGTATATAATAACCATAAAACATACATGACTTGAGTTTCTGTCAGCCAGAGCTCTTGCCAGGCACACATCCTCCTCTACCCCTGCCACTTTCCTTTATCAAGATATCATCTTAGCTCTGCATTGGAAGATCTCTGCACCACCCAGCTGCTTCACCCTTGAGAAGTCTGTGCTTGGGATACACCAGATATTCCCGATGTCCCGGGCAGCAGCTGTTTTCCCACTATCCTGGAAGGGCCCCTAAGGAGAAAGAGCTTGGAACAGCTCTCCCATGTAGCTGTCCGTTAAAAGAGTGCAGTCAACACTGCCCCGGTGGGCTGAGTTCATTCCAGATGGTGTTTTTCACAGCATACACAACAGCGATCCGGGCACTGGTTTTCCTACCCACTGTGTGTGCAAAGGAAGAGGGTGTGGGGAAGGGGGAGTGAAGCCATTCCTGGGACTGTCAGCTAAACTCCAGGTACAGAGCAGTCCAAAGGAAAGCAGCGAAAATCCTACTGGAGAGCAGACAGTGTTTGCAGGAATCCAGCACCCCGAATCCACACGGGACACGGAGGTTTCATGGCTGCCGTTTCACAGGCTGGATTAAAAGCCACAGCTCTGGCTTACTACATGAAGGTGCAAATGTCCTTTGTCCTTTATAGTGGGTAACTATAATTTTATGTAAGTTATGTGAATTTCGTTTACAATTCACCCCCAGAACATTGTTTAAGAAGGTCTTGGAAGTGTAATTTCATAGTAGTATCTGCAATTGTGAACCACAGCCTCAGGCAGTAAGATAATTTCCTGGTATCTAGGCAATAGAGTTTATGTATAGAACTGCTTGCTGCGGCTTCAAGGACTTCTCTGATAGTTCTTTCTAATTTCTACATCCTGCTTGTGAAACAAGGAATTTGTTCACAAATTAGGAATCTGTAGTTGTAACATGGAATAATACAGAGATGTGCCAACTTCAGCATTTTTTATATTTCTGGAAATTGAAAACTAATTGCCTATCACAAATGTTCATCAGCAAGTTTCTAAGTAAATATTAAAGTTTTAACGCTAAAGAAGCTTCCTGCTTCACTCACTCCGATTGTAAAATAGCTGGGAGGGATGGACTCTCCCTTCATATGCTGTTGAGTTAGGGAATTGTAAAATTAAGGTGCTTTTTTTAGCCCAATTTCATAAGACATGCATGTCCAGATGCAATTTTAACTTCTCATTTACATTTGCAATTCAATATATGTAGGAACCTCCAAAAATGAAGTCTTCCTTGAGAATTAACTTAGAGTAGTATAAAGTAATAAAAATTGATTGCAGCACCTTCTCGGTTGTTTTCTGAATAGTTATAAATAAATAACTGCTGTAATGGGTATCAGTGTCTTCTAGAAGTTTTCCTCTTCCCTCCTTTACATTTCGTTACAACAATTGGCTTCACAATGACTCATTGCCTTCGTTAGGAGCGGGAAGACATCCCTCATTATTCATTACTAAAGGAAGGACTTCGCTGCTGCAAAGAACAGCCATGGCATTCTAATTCAGCTACCTTTCAAGAGAAAGGAGTCAATGTCATTCTTCCCCAAACTTTGCCAAAAGAGACAAGAAATAATGCTGTTTAATTGTCTCCATTTATAAATAGTCCATTCACAATGAGAGAATTGTATTTTTAATAATGCAGTCAGGAGGAAAGATACACATTCTTCTACATTTGTGTCTGAATTTAATTTCTGGGAGCTCATGCTGAGACTCTCAAAACTATCAATGATTATATATATGTGTGTGTATAAATATGAAATACATTTATTTATTTACAATTTATTGTATGACTTTTTAATTACAGAGTACTGCAGATGTATTACATAAATGCACACACAAAGCATTCACCGTAAGTAATCCAAGGATGTATTTGATTACAAAGGAAGTAGGCAAGACTGTACTAAAATAATCGTTTTTCTTGATTTTACTAATACAAATGTTCCTTGTCTTTTTTTCCATTCCTTTCTTTTTCCAGATTTATTTACTTAGATATTAAGGGATTGAGCTTGTATTATGTTTTTACTGTATTTTAATGTGTGTTTTATTAAGCTCTACAGCATGGACCATGATTCTTTATAAATAAAGCTATAATCATGTATTACTAAGAAACCCCATTTCAAACTGTACTTTTGCCAGACTTGGTTAAGATTTTCTAGGAAGGGACATTATAATTGTGTGATTAATCTTCAGAAAAGGGAAATTTTGGCTCTGCAGTATTTCTTACTGTATTAAATTCAGAGATTTATAAAACCAACTTGAAACTGCACTGTAAGTGTGTTTATAATGACTTTTAGCTGATTTAATAATCCTCAAAGTTTGGTGACTGTACAGATCACAGCTTCACAAATACAGTCCATTACCTGTGGCATCCAGATGAAGTTATCAGAGGTGGAGGAAATTACTTGGGATTGTATTTCTCCTTAGTGATGCACTAATCCGACCTCTGGCTGAGGCTGGGTCTCTCAGAGCCCTTGTCTGCATTTATCCCATTATGCAGTGGGGGCATGTGCATGGATGATAAAGAACATCTTCATGTTGAAAGTCTAGCTAAGGTACGTGTATACCATCAAATCTTGGTGGCGCAGTTGTAAGGCACCTGGTGTGGTAACGTTGTTAGGAAAATTTTCAAGCCAGTCTGTGATTCGTTTTTGCTGTTGTTATCAGTACCTACAGTGTGCTATGGCTAATGCCACTCCCTGCAGCTGGCAGTGCTTAATGTCACTCTTAGTTCATGATCCTGCAAACCTTTTTCAACCTAAGGAGCCCTTGATCGTGCAAGTAGCTCTGCTAATTGCAGGTATTTTTACTGTCTTAGCCCAGCAGAGTAAGAGCCTCTCGGACAAGTAATGGTGTGCAGGATCAAATCCTTAGATTACATTTACATGCGGCAAGCCATGGAACAGGTTGTTTTAAAAAGTCACCAGTTGAAACAAAACCAGTTGAAACAATGCCAGAAGCCTCACGTTAAGCTTTCTGGCTGTGTGCTTCTTTCTTTCCATGTTTCCAAGCTTTGCTTTTCATAATAATAAATATCAAACAACAACCCTGAAAATTACTGGGATCTAGATTGGCAGGTCTCAGTCTCCATATAACATGCAAAAGATCAGCCTGTGCCCACATATGGCTTCTTGCTAGATCGGAACTTGGTTCATTAACACCGAACTCGGAGAGCTCTGGGGGGATGTGAGGTATGTGCATAATAACCCAGAGCACAGCACTTTAAGCCAGGAGGTGAACAACATACAGCATAGGACTGAATTTACGTATGTTCAGGAATCCAAATACTGGACAAGTTTTGCAGAACCCTGATTTTTCTTTTTTTTGGTCTTTCAGTTCACCACAGTTAAGTAATCAGGCTTCAATCAACTGCATCTTTCCAGACCAGTTATTTGAGATATTTTGTGACTTCAAAGCAATTCCTGACCTTCATCTCTCAGATGACATGCAGAGTTTCTTTAATGGTGCTAAGGACTGAACAGGAGCCCAGTAACACCTACAGAATTCACCTCTTTGGCATTTTCCTAATTTTCACTTTATTAAGCAGATAAAAGCATAGCTATTTCCTTTCCAGGCTCCCTTGTTTGCTTTGTGATGTACTGTGAGGTATCAGTCCAGCCAAACATTTCTTTGATCAACAAGCAGAGTAAGCTGTGTGAAACCTAACGTGTGCCTTTGCATCTTTAGGAATCCACTGTGACAATATATGCACCCAGGGCCGCTGGGGACCAAACTGCTCCATCTCCTGTAACTGTGAGAACGGGGGATCCTGCTCCCCAGAGGATGGCACCTGCGACTGTGCACCAGGATACAGAGGACCCTTGTGCCAGAGAAGTAAGAGATTTTCCATAGATGTGGTGGCAGAAGCGAAGCAGGTAGAAATGCCCATTTATGACACCAGACAGACAGAGCCACAGGTTTCTGAGCTGCTCTATCTCATGACTTCCTAAGGGCAAAGGCTAGCCTAAAAAATGATTCTTGATCAAAAAGTCAAGACTCTACTGCATTGAGTCATGCCTTGCGTTTCTTCTTCTGGCCTTCCACAACACCTGGAGGTCACAGGTGACCTGAGAGAAGGAGCAGCACCTTTACATACCAAACGTGGCAGGATCTGGGCAAAACTAGATTTGCAGTTAAGTCCTGGTGAGCTGTAGGTTATCTACTAAACAGTCAGCTATGGCCCATCTCATAATGACAAGTGGATGAGCGCTGGCTATCAAAATAACAAGACAATGTTTTCTCATATGCCAGAAGAAGAAACACAGCAGCCTGAAATAGCTCCTGTCTGATGTTCTGCTGCTACATATTAAAATGTGCCGAGCAGATAAAAATCCTCGCATTTGCTTTATCTGGGAAGCTGCATTTGCCCCTTAGGGACCCTTACTCACTGATGCAAACTACGCGCAACCATCTTACTGTGTAAACAAGACACGGATTTGGTTTTCTTTTCTGCAGCAGCTCTTGTTCTTCCTTTAAGACATTCTGCATGCCCAGTTCATATATCCCCTTTGATTTCACCAGTTATACTTGACACTAGAACACACTCATCTCTAAAAATAATTTGTAGCTGACAATTTTTATTTAAAACCATTATAACGATGACCTCTAGCACTGCAATAGTTAATGGCCTATAAGCATTTCCATTATAAACCCCAATTTCCAGGTGCTTCAGCATATCTATATAGCTGTAAAACCTCTCTCCAAGGCTAAAACGTGGTGCTCAGAGCTTCAGGGAATTGGGGAAGAAATTGTTTTACAAATTTGAAACCCTAAGAGTGCAAAATTTCCAGAAGTTAATAGTTTCTGACCTTTCTGAGATGAAAAAAAAAAAAACCAGCTTCGTTTTATCAGCTGATGGCATGTAGGCTACAAGAGGCAGACCATGTCCTCAGTTTGCAACTCCAGTAATCAGGCTGCTCCCTGAGGATGTTTGCTAAGGACTTAATGGGGAGAAATTTTCCTCCCCACTGGGGTGAAAACAGAGGGGTCCTGTGGATACTTCTGCTATTGCCTCGTGTCGCTGAAAGGCTTCTCTGTGAATACACAGCCAGGGAGTTCAGCTTGCTTCCACTTCTGTGGGAATTCAGGCTCAAGACTACCTTCTGTAGAGAACCCCTCTGTAGGTGAAGGTAGCTTTAGCTTGCTGAGTTTACTCTCAGAATAATTCCCATTTTTCTCTTAGAAATTCATTGAGAAACAGAATTTAGCCTGCAAAGAGCAGTACTGAAGATGACACTCAGTCAGCTGCTTCTGTCTGTGTAATCAGGATTACGAGACACTGGGATAGTTTACTGCTCTTAGGCCTGCAGAAATGTCTCCGGGAATGATCCAGGCTCTTTTATAGCTAGTGCATCATCAACAAACCTGTCAGCTAAGTTCCACCAGTAGCGTGAGAACCTGACACCCTCTGTGAACATACAGACCAAGAGAAAAATTCTCATTCGATGAAAAAATAGAACAGACATGATATAGTAACCACTAAGCCAGAACTATATAACAGAGAATCACAGTAGTAACAATAAAAACATATAAAGTAATTTTTACAGTTACTTACTGCAATTTAACATTTCTTTGTGCTTATCTATTACAGTGAATGTTTGGACAGTGGGTGGTATTTCATTCTACATGTGCTTAGAAATGACAATGCGCATTTGTAAGAGATACTGAGCCATAATCTTGGCACTATACTTTATGTACAAATTCTGTAATAATTTCAATCCAGGTTTTAAGCACATTAAGCACACGGTTCATGACAAGCTATCTGGTGTGATTACAGATGCAAATTAGGTGATTTTGTATGCGGTTACCATAATTGCCATTTTTAGATCCTGTTCATCACTGATGGATGCTGCTCCTGCAATGGCATGTATAAACTGACTCTCAAATGAACACAAGTATTGCACCTAATATGTTTAGAAATCAGCTTTTGACATAGTTGTTTAGACATAAAATGTTGAGAGTTCCCTAGCACACCTTCTCTGATTTCTTAGCTTAAGTTCCAAAGGAAATGCCATTCTGAGTTTCTGTTGTTCGTACATGTCTTCCTGCCTATCTTAAAACCTTAGAATATGTGTTATTAACCATATCTGCCAGTAGGCTGTGAGGTCTTGAACATCTTAAACTCCCATGTTTTGTAAGAGCTTAGCTGGGGCAGGCTAGAGAGAGACTCCAGTTAGTGTCTTAAAAGAGAGAGGCTGCTGAGAAAGCTCTGCTGTATATAGCCAAGGACTTACGTGAGGTAGGATGGCGTGAATGCTTGAACACAGGAGCAGTTTGATTACTCAGAGCGCTCCTTTTGTTAGTCATGGAATAATCCAACACGCTTCGTAATTTCAGGTGTTCACATAATTGTGGTTTTATAAATTAAGAAATTTTGGTTGGGATTAAGACAAAGAATTCTCAAAAGCTCTCAGCAATGAGAAATCTCCTGAAAACCTGTGACGGCTTATTTTGTTTGGTCCTCAGTTTGTCCCCCTGGCTTTTATGGACACCACTGCAGCCAGCCATGCCCTCAGTGTGTGCACAGCAGCGGGCCTTGTCACCACGTGTCGGGACACTGCGACTGCTTGCCTGGATTCTCTGGTGCTCTCTGCAACCAAGGTACTGAGCCCACGACTTCCAAATGCCACCTCCTTTCCTAAGCTTCTGTGTCTGTGACTTTGCAGCAAGACCTATCACAAGGTTCCTGCCTTTTCCCCTTGTTTCAGCAGTTTAGATCACAAGCAATCCTTTACTTCAGAGGGAAAATGCAAATAGGTACTTAGTCACCCTTTTGTAAATATGATGTGCTCCTGCTTTCATAAATAAAACAGGTCTGCTGCTCTGTATTGAAATGAATATGGAATGAGACACCTGCTGTAAATATATCAGCCATCCAATGGTTTCATTTTCCTTTCTGCTAAGCCTATCATATCCTAAATGCTGAAGGCACCTTCATGCACTCTTTTTCAGCAGGGAGGGTAGATAGTAGTTCAGGTAAGGGCCAGCTCAGGTGCACAAGCCCAAACACCCAGTTAATGCATGGAACATTATTTAGACTGTCTGGGACCTGACTGGGAGTAGCTAAAATCATGCACATCAAACACAAGTGGAAGAGACAGGAAAATTTGCAGTGAGGCAGTGTGAGTTAATTTTCACAGGTGAAGAGTAGCTTCAACTCCCCCTAATGTCCATCACCTTTCTGTACCTTTGAAAGTTAGTCCACTTTTAACCACAGGTTTCATTTTCAGTTTTATGCTAAAAATGGTTGCAGAAGCATTACAGTACCCTGCAGAGTCTTAGTTACTACATACTACTGTGGGTATCTTCTATATACAGATTTAAAAGAGATTATTCATAATGGGTACTGCCCTTGTGAAGTCACCACCCCTGTAAAAATTGAACTGACACTTTTTAATGACCTGTTTTTCAGTAAGTTAGAAATTGCAGACAGCACTTATGCAAAATCATTAAACATAGATTAAGTATAACCATGTTTCCTTTTTCCTGTGCTATATAGTCAACTAAACATTATACCAATTAATTTATTAAAATGAGCATATTTCAGTGAATTTGTCCATTTTATGTGAAAAGTTAGCCAGATTTCAAAGCGTAAGCAGGGCTAATTATCCTCTTAAGAAAACTATTTTATTTTTGCTCAGATGTTCAGCACTTCTGGTTTTACTTTGAAATGTTGATCTATCCAGCAAATTAATTTTAAAATATTCATGTCCTAATTAAAATCAATTTGTGTTGCAGTTTGTCATAATGAGTTAGCATGTAACTTTATTTTGTAGAAAGAAAAATGCTAATTAATGTTTTGCATTAGAAAAACGTGAAATGAAGATCTTGCTTTTGAATTTTCATCTCCTTGTGCCGTCTCTGTTCTGGCAGCAGGAACATTCTTCCATCAGCAGCATGTGCATGTGAGGAGCTGCGTAACCTCCAGAACTGCACAGGTTGACACGGTTGTGCTAAGGATTCTGCGCAGCAAGCAACTGAGAGCTGTTTTATCAATATCTTTCTCAATCATGTAGCAAGATGGATTGATAATAACTTGTTATTGCTGCTAGAACACACCTGACATCCCACAGGGCCTTTTGGAGTCCCACTTCAGGGTCTTTATAGCTAATTAACATCACTATCTGCAGTGTACAATCAGATTGCTCCCGAAGAAAGCAGCACTAGTCTGTTCTTTACAGCTTTGTTTAAAAAATTGAGACATTTGAAAAAGTGCTTGAGTTTGGATCTCACATCTTTGCAAGAGAGTCGCTGTGTCAATCCACAACCAGGTTTACTTAAATTAATGCGAACAACCATTTTGGCATGGTTGGTTTTATAATCCTTCTGTGTTGACATTCTAGAGGGCATCATACTATTTCACTGAGACAAGAGGTGCTCACACAGTAGGAATCCCTTTGCTAGCTCTTACTGTGTGGAACTGAAGCATTTCATTTATAAAGTATGACCTGTTGCCTTTGTCAGCAGCAGTGTTTGGATCACAGATCTCTCTCTGATTCATTAGTATTCCATGTTGCAGTGCAAATCAACTCATATTTTAATAAGTCTTTTGAGAACTATTTTTTTGCACGTATAAAAAATCCAGCTTTCATTTAAATGATGTTATCTATCTCCATCTTAAAGATGCAATAAAAATACTACATTGAATTGCTCTATACAGAGCATTGGAACTGAATAATGGTGTAACATGTATGAGAACCTAGGCTGACAGATCATTTTAGTTTTTGCTCTTTCTGTGATATGAGAGCCTTTCTTTCCTTCTCTCTCTTTCTCTTTGTGTCTGTGTATTGTTCTTTTTATTGGGTCTGTATACTGTGTTTAGTTTTATCTCTTTTCAGTTAGAGAACTGTTCTGTTTAGCACATAATTTGAAAGCCAAAACCAACTTTATCCACTCCTACAGATAAGTCCGTAGTGTATAGAAATGCATGCAGAAAACAATAGTATGCACATTCTTAGGCTTCTGCCATAGTAAGAGTGCATGATGGCACATTATATAAAAGCAAATGAATTGCAGCTCGGGATTTCAATCTGTGGCTGATTCATAGTCAGGATAGATTGAGGTCACCTGCAGAGACTACATATGAGAAAGTGAGAGTGGCTGAAGTTGTAAAACAGTTGCATAATTCAGGGAAGTGCCTTAATCACTTTTTTGACATCACTATTATTTACCAGGATGCAAGTCCAGTTCCATTTGTTACATTCTTTGCAAAGATGGACCGTATGTTTTATCTTGTTTTGAAAATACATCTGTTTTTGTCAGGGAACACAGCCAATAAGAGCACAGAAATTAAACATTTCATTCATTACTGAGCAGAGCTTTCCATCAACTTTAACATTAAAGATTTCCAATAATTTAGTGGGAGGTTGAAGATCTACGTGTCTATTAGTTTTATGTCACTGTGTTTAAGCTGTTATAAGATGACTCTGGAAAAAAATTAAGAGTTTCTTTGCTTCCAACTTCAGGAGTAAACTAGGTAGACAAACAGGAATAGACAGTGAATTTGTTAGGATGCAGCACACCTTTTTAACAGCTCTCAGTCAAACATATATATAATCCTTGGAAACCACATTTGCAACTGTCACGGTTTAACCCTAGCTGGCAACTAAGCTGCTCGCTCACTTCCCCCCGGTGGGATGGGGGAGAGAATTGGAAGGGTGAAAGTGAGAAAACTCGTGGGTTGAGATAAAGACAGTTTAATAAGTAAAGCAAAAGCTGCGTATGCAAACAAACCAAAACAATGAACTCATTCACCACTTCCCATCAGCAGACAGGTGCTCAGCCATCTCCAGGACAGCAGGGCTCCACGACACGGAACATCGATTTGGGAAGGCAAACGTTATCCCTCTGAATGTCTGCCCCCTTCCTCCTTCTTCCCCCAGCTCTATCTGCTGAGCATGACACCATATGGTCTGGGATATACCTGGGGTCAGTTGGGGTCAGCTGTCCTGGCCGTGTCCCCCCCAACTCCTTGTGCACCCCTGGCCACTTGCTGGTGGGTGGGATGAGAGGCAGGGAAGGCCTTGGCTCTGTGTAACACTGCTCAGCAGTAACAAAAACATCCCTGTAGCATCAACCCTGTTCTCAACACAAATCTGAAATATAGCCTCATACTAGCTACTGTGAAGAAAATTAACTCTGTTCCAGCCAAACCAGTGCATCACCAATTTGTACAGTCTACAGCAAGGGCTACTGGAAAGGAATAGGTGGATAGATGCCAAAAGACAAACAGGATACTTCAGCAATTGGATATGTGCTTTATTTTGTGGGAGCAGTCTTCTGCCAGACTTATATGATAAAAATACTTATGGAAGTGGCAGTCTTGATCCTGGTTTACTCTCCACATGCATGATTTGAATCTGTGAGATTCTGGGAGCCTGCATCCCACCAACATTGCTGAAAGCTGACCTTTAGCAAAGCCTAGTGTATTTAGGAGCAAAGGCACCTTCCCCTTGCAGCGCTGTTTGATCCAGAAGGACTCAGGACAGTGATGAGGTAGATACTCCAGCGTACCCAATATTGCAGCACCACATGGTGCATGATGCATTTTGTAGTGCTAGTGGGATAGCAGGGGAAAGGACTACAGCTCTTTCAGACTCTTCTTGCAAGCTTCTCTGCCGTCAGGCATTTCATGGGCACTGGCCGCCCAGTACAATACCCATGGCTAGTACGTCAGGGCAGCCTGGTGGTCAGGTGTGTGGCTTGTGGTCCATTATCACTGTCAGTATCAGCTGTACAATACAAGGGGGTTAGGTTCTAGTGGCAGATCTGAAAGTAAGAGTCCCTTTTGCTCTTCATCTTCTTGAGACTTCATCACTAGGCTGGTATTTAGTGTAAAATGTTCCTTTTGTACTTGTATTGTTCTTATTGCTGAGGTTGTAATCCTCTGAGCCAGAACCCAATTTCAGTGTTTGCACCAAGGGACCTCCTTGGCCAAGTCCCCAGATCCATCCCTCCCAGCCACTTATATGCGTTTGACACCAGTCTTTGAACTCTCCTCAACTTTAGTGTTCTCTTCCTCTCCCAATAACCCCTTTCTCTATTCTGTATCTCCTCTATTCATCCTTTCATAGTGCCCTTCAATAATTGTAATCTTCTAACTATATTAGATTCATTTTCCAGCAAAGAATGGATTTTGAGACCCTTTTTTTCCTGTTGTTTTTATGCCTGGTATGTAAGCAAACAAACTGAACTTGAATACTTTCTGCCTTTTCCTTCTTTCCAGAAGAACCTTGCCCATTTGGCTTCAGCAAAGAAAAATGTTGTAATTACTTTTATCTCTAATTGCTAAATGTTAAGTCCTGTGACTTCCTTATATTCATTATGAAGTCCTTTCAGTAAACTGCCTTATATTTTCACAGTCTGTCCCAGTGGAAAATACGGGAAGAACTGTGCCGAGGTCTGTCAGTGCACCGAGAACGGGACGTGCAATCCTATTGATGGATCGTGTCAGTGTTTTCCAGGATGGATAGGGACAGACTGCTCTCAGAGTAAGCAAAGTGTTATTTTTCCACCTCTGCTTTAAAATAACATATTTTCCTGTTTAGTGTTTTCCGAAAGTTAAAGACAGATTCTGGGGAAGTCCCTGAAGAATTACAGCATTATAAGGTATAAAGTAGACCTACTCTCTTTATACCTTATTTCTTTTAATTATTCTAAGTTAGCTTTGGCTTGAATTAGTTTCTGCATTTGGAATTTGCAGAAGCCGTTACTAGCTTCTATTACAGGAAAGGAAGGTCACAAGCTCATATCAAAAAAGAAAGCTCCATGCTCCCTTTTAATTTCTAGCTGGATTCCCTTTTATTTATTTTTTGAAATAATTTTCTTTCGGCTATTGCATTAGAAATTATTAACCAGTAAAAGTTTTCATGTAGCAAGCCCCCAGAACTGAGAAATTAGGCAGCTGAAATATTTCTATTAAATGTAATTTAATTGTAAAAGTCAATGTGGGCTTGGAGGGATGGAGGATTTCTTCTTGAAAATTGCCCAGGTAGAAGATTGGCATTTGCTGATCCCAAAGTGTCATTTCCTGAGAGCATCCCTTAATTGAAGATAGATCACAGAGGGAAGTAATATCCTATCATTCAGAAATGTTACTTCATATTCAGGATACAACTAGCATATTAGACAGCATTCCAGAGTAAAATATATTAAACTTCAAGTGATAAAGTAGGAATCGGATAAAAACAGACGGCTGTAATTTTGCTTTTATTGTGTGTCTTCCACAGGCAGAATATTGCTGTCACTCAGAAATAGTAAAAAAAAAAAAAAAAGAAAAATAGACAGAAGGCTCCACAGATTCCTCATTATATTTAGCCATGTAATTGGGAAATGACTGTTAGTTTATGTTAACCTTGAAAAAGATGCTTTTTTCTTACAGATAGAGGCAGGCCAGTTCAGCAGCAACAATTTCCAGTTTAGCAGGCAGAAGGACCTGGCGATAGCTACTTTGTATTTTGGATGAACAAAGTGGGAACCTGACTGTTTTCTCAGTTACCTTCTTGTAAAGAAGGTGTAAATCTCCCAACGTGAACCTGGCCTCACACCGGGCTCCTGTCGGCACCTGGCCTCGCATACCCGAGTCCGGTACTGAGCTATTTTGGTCAGACCTCCCTCCGCACCAGTTAACCTGGAATGACCGAGAGACTGAGCTACAAAGGAGATAATTTTAGCTCCAACTCCAGAGCCAGTTCTGGAGACGCCATCAGACCCTGCAGCTCTGGCTTACAAAGGCATTGTAAAAGTATCTCTGGTTGCTCATAGCACAAATACTTTAGGCCAAATCCCGTTCAGCTTTACATTGTGTGAGTTCAGTGACCTTTTGTTTGATTTACATCATGGCAGGGCTTTTTTGCTATTTATTCTGGCTTTAGAGATGTCTGTCATATGCCAGAAAATTGCATTTATCATCAGAATTGGAGCCAATGGCATACATGGAAATAGGCACAATTTCTGTACTTTCAGGTTTCCTGGGAACCATGCCTTATTAATTCATGTCTTTAATAGGAAGCAATGGAAAATGCTTTTTAAAGCAAAAATATAGTTGTTATATTGAAGGGTTATCATAATTTTGGATCTTTTAGTCTGGCACTAATAACTGTAACTTACTGCATTCATATTTGGAGGGAGGCTTAAAATAACTTTTGAAAATGTATTAATATTGTACCTGTTGAAATATATAATAGACCTGGAGATTTTAATTTCATATTAGCCCCATCAACAAAAGAAATCTGATTTTGTGGATGGGAACTCATACTGTAAGAAGTTTTCTTTACATTTTTACGTAATTTGAGTAGCACTCTGTGCTTCAAATGAATGTGGTAATTTTAGTAGTTGATTGCATAAAAAAGTAAACCATGAATAGCTGTGCTTTATTATGCAAGAAATCCGGAATATCAAAAAGAAAATTAAATTACCTCCATATCTTAAAGCCCTGTCTAAATTGTCTTCACAGATAATGCCAGTAAGGCAGGGAGAGTGGCTAGAGCACTTAGAGTAATGTAGTGTCGAGCATCGCCGTTTCAGTGGTTCTCAGTGCGCATATGTAGCAAATCCCTGATCCTGCCACCTGACCTACACAGGAGAGAAACTCCTTGGGCCAGGGCTTGGGAGCCTCGGGGAGGTTGCAGGTTGGCACCCAGGTTTGCAGAGCAATCCTTGGCTTGGAAGAACCGGTCACTGTCAGGGAGTTGCTGCGGCGATGCCAAGCTCTGCAATGCGAAGTTCTGCCTTTGCTGGTGTCTCACAGGTTTTCCCTTTATTGTTGCTCCTCCGCAGCCCTAACGCGGTATCATTGCTTTTCTTGTCAGCTGACAAATCTCTTTTATTTTCATAGCTTGTCCCACTGGTTTTTGGGGCCCTGATTGCTTTCATTCATGCAACTGCCACAACGGAGCAATGTGCAGCCCTTACGATGGAGAATGTAGATGTACTCAAGGTTGGACGGGGCTCTACTGCACTCAGCGTAAGCCTTTCAGAGACTGTTGTGCCAGGGAATCTGTCAAAGTATGTGCTGCTACCTCGTGTCTCTTCCAAGTATTGCAGTCTTCCCTGTTAAACCACCTGCTTCTTACTTGTGATAACTTCACACCACCCTGAAGAAAAGAGCCCTGGAGCTTTTCAAGGTTTTTTATGCCTTTGGCATTTGATAAAGGATGGATTGATCATTTAGATTATTGATTCATTGTCAGAATTGGCACAGTCTATGTCCCTACTTGTTAAAGCTCCAGTGTATGTGGTCTGATTTAGGAAAATGTTTGAGATTCCTCTTCCTACTAGTACCACATTATCAGCACTGTACAAAAGAGATCAAATTCTGGTGAGCATTTTAAGAAGGCTCTTTCACTTGCAAGTAATGGATTGATCTCTGGCCTTTTAGAGAATTTCTGTTTTGCCATCTTTACTTGTTGAAAATGTAGTTTGTATAGATGGGTCAAGTTTTTGTTCTTCTGAAACACTTAAGAGGCAATTCTGATATGAAAAATGCTACTTCAAGAAAATTGGCTGTCGTAGTATCTCTGCATTTAGATGATCAAATGAATGTTATTAAATATACAGAGGCTGAAAATCCATAGATTTATAGACCTACATATTTTGTGCTGATAACACATCTGAGTTTGTGCTTCAGCTTATTTCTTAGTCTTTCCTTACTCTGATTCCTGAAAGGTTGCCCAGCTGCTTTTTATGGAAAAAACTGTGCCAATGTTTGTCAGTGTCAGAACGGAGCGGACTGTGACCACATCACCGGCCAGTGCACGTGCAGGACTGGATTTACAGGCAAACAATGTGAGCAAAGTAAGTAGCAACATGACTTCATTTTTCTATTTCTCCAGCGGGGGTGTATTTCAGAATTCTTTGCACAAACAGGCTCTTAAATAAGGTGTTGATGTCAGCAAGACAGTAACCCCAGGCACCTTATATAACCCATAGGGAGAAGAAGACATCTCTGGAATCTGGACAGTCTGTTTAAACATAAAGAAATATAGTGAATCCTCTGCAAATTAGGCATTTCCATTCCCAGCCTGAAGTTAGATGAGATAAAAAGCAAGTCAGTGTGCTCAGTGCTGACTGGATCTAGCCTTCCTGAACAACTTGTACCTAATGAACAGAAAAACACAGGCTGCATCATGCCTTGCTGATGTTGTTGCAAGCAGCAGCCTTAGGTTTCCCTGGGCATGAAGGAAGACAAAAGAGTTAAAAGAAAGAAGTCCTGCACTCTGCCTTCCAAGGAATATAGGGGCTTTCTTGCAGAGGTTATGTTATAGATGTGGACTAAATAAAGATTTATCTTTACAATGGAAACAGATTAATGAAAAAAGGTTGCTTGCTGGTTTTGGAAGGGTCTGTGTTTAACTTGAGTAGTGAGTAAGTGTTTAACAGTGAACTTCAATTACGTTGCAAGGGTCCTGGCATATCTTACTATAATCATTGTCAATGTTTTGCTGGCATATTTAGCACGCTGTGCCAAATGACTTCTTTTAAGAATAAAGAATTAGGGTAGTAGGAACTGTATGTGCTGTAGTTGAATAATTACTTGTTTGTCCAGTAGAGTAAATCAAAAGAAAATTCTCACACACTTACTTGGATTCTAAATGCAGGGTGAAATCTGTCTCTCCTTACCAAGACATTAATTCTACAGGGTTTTGTTCCTTTTTTTGGCAGTAAGGTAATACAGCTACATTCCTGCTAGATTTGCACGTGAAAGCTTCTTAACTGTATTTTACTACATGGATCTTTATGAAAGTATTTGTCCATACAGTTAAATTCATTGACATCTTTGCTTTTTGCACATACTTGCATTCAGCAAAGCATGTATCTCAGGACCAAATTTGCATGCTAGTGTGAGGAGTGCATATGGCACAGCTGTAACTCTGTGTGGCCAACTTACTGTGGATTTGTATACACCCTTACTGCAACCATAAATGAAATGGGAAACTAAAACGTTCCATAGCAGAACTGCCTCATAGCAGATTTTATACAAGAAACTATACTTATACTTTGACCTCTGTACGAAGCCTGAGGCTTTCTTTTCTATCCAAATTACAAATGTATTTATTTATTTGTTTTTCTACTATTTAATATAAAAATATTTCTTCGTTAAGACTCCTTCCTTCTCAAAATCCTGCTGAATGGGCAGTCACATCTCATTGCAGATGAAATGCCTAAATGCAGACATCATTTCTGTGGTACAGCCCAAAAATTTAGGCCTTATTCATTTTAATTAGGCTACAGGTTAATAGCAGAATGAGCATTAATTGTAATAATTTTACTTTTCCCTGTTTGAGGCCCTGCAGATGAAAGAAAGAGATACAACTATAATACACACTGCAAGTCATTATACAGATGCTGGCTACTGTTCATTACTGAGTATTAAATTCTGACTACTAGAAGTTACTTAGAGACTGACATTGGCAGTGACACACAAGAAGTCAGATCTTAAAACAAACTATGTATATTCTAAAGAGTCATAGCAAATGTGCGTGTGTTCAGCAATGCATCTTTTCCATAGAAATAAGTAGGATGTGACAGAAGTTGTTTCTTTTAATACTTACTATACTCAAGAAGTATAGTAAGCTACCTACAGATGTAATAGCCCATCACGGTAATTGTACGAATAAATTTCTTAGCTGGACATTCAGTCGTTTTGTCTTTAATAGAAATACAAAGGCAAGATAGAAGTTCCTCTATATTAGGAATCCTAATACAGAAGCAGAGCAAATCAAACCATTCAGATGCTCAATTCCGTAATTCCACCTACATCTTCTAGCACTAATAGGGATAAGTATGAAAGCATGCGGGATTTGTTTGGTAAAAGTCTATTATGTTCATATAAAGGAACATTAAAACTTTTCTTTGTAACTACCCCCATGAAAAACAAAGATGCAGGGTTGGTGGAGAATGCTATGTTCTTCCAGGATGTTGTCTATGGCTTCTGAGCTCACGCCCTCTTAAATTCTACACCCTTGTAATATATATCAGGCCTTTTAAAGTCTCTGTGCGTATTATTGTTTCAGTCTTGTGAAGTCTTGTATGACTTTTGCAAAAAGTTATGGCTTAGTAAGTAATACCCTAAATTGTATATGAAATACATTTATCTCCTGCTTTAAAATAATAATAATCTAACACTAGGGCTTTATCCTAGAGACACTGAAACTAGGGAGACATTTCTACTGAATTTTCCATAGCAAGTGTTTCACCCATTCCCCCCAAAATTAGAATTCTTCCCAATCTTTTTCTTTGTCTTCCCAGAGTGCTCACCGGGAACATTTGGTTATGGTTGCAAACAACTATGTGAATGCATGAATAATGCTACATGTGACCATGTCACAGGTACTTGCTACTGCAGTCCAGGCTTTAAAGGAATCCGATGTGATCAAGGTACAGTGAAATTCTCCCTGTAAAATATCTGTCTATGTCTCTCTTTCTTTCCCCCTCTCTGATGATGTACTTGCTTTAAAAAAATAGTATTTCAGAAATGAAATGCATGATTCAATTTACAGTGTGCTATGAATTACTTTTAACAGCGGCTCTTATGATGGAAGAATTAAACCCCTATACTAAAATTAGCCCTGCTCTTGGATCAGAGAGGCACTCAGTGGGAGCAATCATTGGAATTATTATCCTCCTTCTAATTATTATGGTCTTGCTGGCACTGTTTGTGTGGTATCGACGGAAACAGAAGGAGAAGGGCCATGACATGCCAAGTGTATCTTATACTCCAGCCATGAGGATGACTAATACAGATTACTCACTTTCTGGTAAGGGTCTTTTTATGTTAATCAAATATAGACTCATATTCCTGTATGTTGGGGAAATACAAGCTTCTGTGATGTATAACATGTTACTGAGCCTCAAAAATAATGACACTTCTGTTCTTCACCTGAATATCATAATCTTTTAACACTTAATAACAGGGACAGGAAAGCATATATAACTTAAAACTCATTTAAGCTGCTTTATCTGTGAAAGATTTTTTAACACGATACAGGATATACCTAGGCAAGAAATATTCTGCATGGAATACATCAGCTCTGTTTTTTTAAATCAGCTGCGTTCTATAGCAGTGCAGAGTTTTCCCTTTGTCAAACATTCAGGAGACTTTTTTTGCTTAAGGAACGGGATTGACTGGGTCAATCATAAGGTTTTATTTTTGTCTATGTTGCAGTTTGTGATTTGAGGTGTCCTGTTCACTGTCACTTTCTTCTGTGTGCAGACCAATCCCCGTTGTTGAGACAGCTAGTGTGAGTTTTCTGCATAGGAGCTGATGAAAGCAGGCGAGAGGAAGAGGAAGGCTCTTTAAGATCAAAAAAAGTCATTTTGAGATCACATTTCTTGCTTCTTTTTATTTTCTGCTACTGCTATGGAGGACAGCTTTTGTTGACAGATTGGCTAAACTTTGGAGGATGTGATCTCCTTTTTGAAGCCATCATTCTTCTTCATTCCTCTATGGCCAGTATCAGAGAGGATGCCAGACAGCAGATGGCTTTACTTCCTTCTTGTTTCCTCCAAGCTGTCCCTAGTGGGGATCGTCTTGGGGTTTGCTGCCCCCTGACTGCACTTCACTTCTTTATTTCCCTTTACATGGCTGACACTGTAAGTCCAAGTAAATACAAGCTCCTGAAACATGCAGAGGTTGGCCTAGCAGCTCTGCTTTCCCGGTTCTGCATTGATTTTTTTTTTACTGCTTTTTAGTCTAAATGCACGAGGCCCAGCCACTTGTTGCTGGCTCTGACTTGGCTTCTGTGCCATCTTGGGGTGGAATGGCTGGAAGCTTCTGGACTTTCCTGCCCAGGATGCACCTGGAAGCAGCCTCTCCCACCAAGCCAACAATATTACTGCCTGGCTACAGCTGGGGCTTAACCAAGGAGTTTCTCTCATGGTGCTGTGGCTCCAGCCCTCATGTCAGGGGCATGGTATCCTGCGATGGCATATCACACGTCAGGGGCTGTCTGCTGAACACCACTGACTAAACTCATATTTAGACCACTCAAGCCTATACTAGAGCATTCTGATAGATACAAGATGGGGGGAAAAAAATCAGCCTTGGACCTCCTCCCATTGCCTCTTATTTTTGAATTTTAGCTGTGCAGGCTCTTGCTTAAGCTGCCCATTTGGGTAAGAAATGTATGAAACTGTTGCCAGAGAGGGCTCATCTGATCCTTGGCTAGTTGCCAGCACAATTTGGCCTGAAATTTGTCATTTCAACATCATTTGAAGAGCCAGACCATGAACATGCAAAAGACAACTGTGGCACATCTCAGCAGCAGCGAGGCTCCGAGTTCCAAGAGAGCAGATCACAGCCGCTGGCATAGAAAAACGTTCTGAACTTTTCAGCAATCCATTTCTTTCATATTGGCACTTTATCCATTCATTTACAAAGCTTGCTACACCTCATTTATTTGTGTATTTTTCTACTTAATGTATGTGTAACCCAGCATGCTTAAGAGACACAACTTACAGATTTCAATATAAGGAGAGGAATATTGCTGAGGTTGGGAGTTCCTGACTGGAGTGATTGAGCTTCTCCTTTCAGACAAGGAAACAAAATTCTCTCAGTTGTTTTTCCTCCATATTTTACCATGACTGGAGACTTTCCAATCGACCTGATGGTATCACAGTCTGACACTGCAAGAATTCCAGAAAAAGGCTAACACCGAGAAAGGATACTCTTCATCCTTTGAAGTTGACATAGACAGAAGCCATTATGTTTGAAGATGTTGGTAGCCCAGGACTGTCCTTGCAGGTTATGTCTTTTCAGGCATTGCATCTCCCTTTGCAATGTTCTTCACATTCATTTCAGGCACAGCCACCTATCCCAGAGCTCCTGATGCCACATGATACTTAAGGAGTTGAGGGAAAAAAGTATTTTAGGGATGCCTGAATTCCTGGATACATCATAAATATCTGAGGGATCACATCCTTCAGCTGCATTGAATGTGGGATCTCTTCTGGTCCTTTGGCAATGACAATGAATTTAATTCTTGGCTTTTTGGCATTGCTGCTCTGTGTCAGTTTGTAAAAAACCTGAAGTACCAGGTCCTTGCAACCCCAAACTGCACCAGGTCAGTGGTGGTGTATGGGCTTCTCTGGAATGAAATTGGATAATGTTTCCTTCCTGTTCATCTCAGTCAGCAATGGAGATGCAGAGACTGGGCGTTTATTCTTTCTTCTTTCTTTCTTTCTTTGTGCAGTCCTTGTAGCAATATAAATTTTATCATCCAGGAAGCTGCAGCTGAGTGGGGTCAGCCATCTCTTTCTGGAGGTCACAAGAACAATTTTCTTCCTGCCTCCCCCTTGAAAAACTCTGCTATCTGAGCTTGCAGAAGAAGACTAAGAAGTTAAAAATCACATTGCTTCATCTTCATCTCAGAATTGTCTGCACATATCAGCACTGTTTCAAGTTTTGGGTTTTGTTTTAGAAGAACATTTACAAATTCTAGACAAGGGCTTCTGAAAGCTCCCTGCCAAATTCTGACTGTCCTCAAATACATTCTCCTACTGAAACTTTCTACCCATCAGTAACCTTTCCAACTTTGGCCTTCCCAATGCTGTTTTCAGCCTTTCACTTCCATAGAGCAGAAAGACAGCAAAAGGTGGTGACGGGCATCTTCCCCAGCAGAAAGTGGGGACCTGAATACTGGGGTAAGATCACAGATAAGAAATAAAGACTCATGGCGTGGCTGCATGGCAAGAACAACACGTGTGTATGAGTGCATGTGTGCCTTTGTGCACTGCAGAGGCTGCTGGAGGACAGTTGCAGTGTTACATAGAGGTAACAGGGATTTCAGCCTTCCCCTGGAGTTTTGTATGTGGATTAAGGGCAGAATACTATGTGGATACACTTGTCCAATTAATATAATCCCATGTAAACCCATGGACTTCAGCAGGAATTCCACCTGAACAGTGACTGCGATATCCAGCCCTGTATGGGTTGTAACATTATGGCTAAACTGAATCACCACTGTTGTCATTTTGTTTGTTTCCTCCTGCTAGGATAGTCTGCTTGTTGTTTCTGAATTGAGTCACATATGCAGATTCCTAGCTCCTGGAGGCAGTAATTTCTTCCAGCACATTCATTTATTTCTGGAGGATGTTTTTGGTCTTTACGTCTTCAGCTGATAATCCATGCATATGTGTGAGGGAGATTATAAGGAAGGGGAAGCCCCTGGGCAGCCCTTAGACTCTTCTGCATTTGTGGATGAAGGATGTGGCAGCAAAATACACACTCTGCCCATCAGCCAGAGGGAAAGAAAACCACCTGTGCTGGGAGAGCATAATGACAGCACATGGATTTGAGAGCAGACTTTCCCAAATAAGCCTGAAATCAAAATAGTGCTCCCCAGTATGAGAATGGTACATTGCATCCAACAGAAGATTTTAAAGTGCAGGTTAATTCAAGGAGATGGGGACAGAAGTGAAAACTATGCAGCTGGAGAGCAGCAGAGGTTTCAGGACTTTTACAAAGTTGTGGTTATGGGCTAGAAGTGGTGTTTGAGGTCTGAAACTTTCTGCTGTGGGTGACTCCTATGCTGAAAGCCAAACCTAAGCAATGCTTGATATGAATAGAGCATCATGGATCCTGCAGCCTAGACAAGGTGTTTACAGAAGTGATCTGCAGATGATGTGTAGTAGGAGGTGGCAGAGTGAACCCTCCTGCTTGGAGTCTTCAGCCCCCCCACTGACACCCTGTATGGGTGGAGAAGATCTACGCAAAAAGAAGAAAACAGCTCCATTTTGCAGCTTGAGATATCTGGGTCTGTGTTTACTGCAGAGTGCTTACTTATTCCCTTTTTTCATGGTTGGCCTTGTGCCCAGTTTCCACACTACACTGTCCTGCTGCCGCTGAGGATGGGACCAGTGCTCTGTGCCTCAGCCCTGGCTCGGGGCAGAAGCTCAGTCTTTCAAGTGATAGAGGTTCTGGCCTTCATCCAGACTTCATGGGTCTCCCACTGGAGCACAGCATCAGGCTTGAGGGGTGCACAGCAGGACTCTGCCATCATGGATCCCTTCACAGCACTGATCTCCCCATATTAACATTAACATAATCTTTGGGGTTTCTTGTTTTGTTTTAATTTAAATCATTCCCTCTCTTTTAGGCATTAGTCCTTGCTTACTGTTCACAGAAGAATAAAATTTCCATCTTTGGGAAGAAAGGGGTTTTTGTGGGGGGTTTTTGGGTTATTTTTTGTAACTGGGATAGCATTAGATTTGAATTTGATGTATTTCCAGCCAGCAGTTATAAGAGCTTCATGAATAAATGTGTAGAAAATGGACTGTGCTATCAAGGTAAATCAGCCTGGGTAGGTACTTAACTATCAACCAAATGGAACCGTGTAGAAGAAGTAATTCTGAGTATATGGTGCTGCATGCAATGAAGGAAGAAAAGATTTTTGGTGATGCAGACTTGTGTACGAGCTCAGGTTCATTAATTCAGCACTGTGCTAATAGTAGGGCAGTCTGGTAGACTTTTCCTTCAGCTCATTTCGGGTGCACAAAACAAGCTACGGCCAGATAAGCTGGGTGTGAACTTGTAATGTGTCAGCTGGCTCACAATAACCGTGGTATGTGCCCTCTTATCTTGCAGCAAGGCAGTGGACTGTGCCTCTTTTCCTTTGAGCTGGTCCTTCTTGCCTGCAGCTGAGCGAGGGCATGACAGATAAGGGAAGGGGGAAGGCAGAGCTGAGAGCTGGTGTGACTCAGCCATCAACACTCACCTACAAAGCAGAAAGACATGGTTTCAAGTGTCTATATTTAACTGGGACCGCAGGTTGTGAGGAGGGTGGATGAGCTCCGCTCCCCTGGTGAGCCGCCAATCCCTCATTAGCAGGTTCAAGGCTGTGTGTGAGCAGCTGTGTTTGTGATGGGCATATACTGAGCGTGGTGTTTGGGTTCCAGCTTCAGTTCTCATTTGCAGACCCCAAGGGGTATCTGTTTCTTGTTAATTCTATTGCAAATATCACAGAGTTATAGTTAGGGCAGATGGCAAAATCCTGGCAGCCGGGCTCTGTGCTGGGCAGTGGCTAGCTGAAAGAAGTTAAATGCAAAGCCTTTAGTTGGGAAATCACATCCTGATCTGAGATACTTTGTTAGCAACAACCTTGGAAAATAGCTAGAACTAAAAGGCTCTGCACTTACTACAAAATAGAGCTGACCTCAAAAATTGCTCTGCATGTTTCAGCATAAAACAAATGCTCGGTCAGATATGCATGTGCATGTGCCGTTTCTCCGCTCAGCTGCGTGCCCCGGCACTTATGTAATAGACACCCTGCAGATAAAACCACTTATCTGAAACAGGATATTTTGCAGTAAATTAAGCTAAATCTTGATCTCCACAAGATGTCAGCAAAGCAAAGTGCATGTTCTTAGGAATGCAGAGGGCAAGGAGAGGCGATGGTGACCCTCTCGCAGACAGTGCCAGCCAGGTCGGAGTCCTTCCCCACCCATCTGCTGCCAGCCCGCATTACAGACCTCTGGTGATGGGCACGGACCCCGGCACTTCACTACCCTTTCCCTGTGAAGATGTTTCCTATAACCTTTCTGCCTACAATTTAAGCCCATGGTTTATTAAAACCCATTTGTTTACTTCTTACAGGGCTTGGCTGTTTGAATGATGCTGCTTCAGTTTAAATTTTTCAGCCTTCTGATGGTACTTTGAAATATTTATCAATTTGTTATTAAGCTGGAACTAGATTGGGATTGATGTTTTCATTAGAACTGCCGGTATAAATATGATTCCTTTCTTGGTAAATTATTTTGTTTGGTAAGTGTTCCTAAATTAAAGTGAGGAAACAGTTAAAATGTCTCTAAGCATAACAATGTAACTGCCCGAGTTTGCTTTCAGTGCTGCAGCTTTCTTTTTTTCTAAGCCTTTACACAAAAAGCTGTGTAGAATGTTTTAGACTCCCTCATATGGTTATAGCACTTTGGTTTCTAACATTAACTACCTTTTTTTGTAACAAAAAAGTTTTCATTGTTTCATAACTGCAAGGGTTGTTTTCATCAGTAGTTCTTACATGAGTTTAGTTTCTTCCCTCACCTGCAAAGCAGCTGGACTGTCAGGAATTACTTTTCTAAGATCTTCAAAAAGATAACACTGTATTAATTAAATATTTGCTTTTTAATCTTATATTTAATGCTAATAGTCAAGAGCTTCACACCGTGATAATACAGGATAGATTTCATCTGCAGATGTTTTATAACATCCAATACTCTCACAAAGTTTTGTGATCTAGATTGTCTCTAGCATGCTTTCAGTTTCTTAAGAATCATTATGGCTTCCAAAGTATTTTGTGATGACTTGTTTTCTTCCCAGATGTATCTCAAGGTAGCGGCAGTGTACATTGTTTTTCCAATCCAAGCTACCACACTCTCTCATGTGGTGTGACTTCACGCTTCTTTACCAGTAATCTGGATGGAAACAGCTCCAGTAAGGTAGATGTTATCCCACCCCACTGTAGCAATGTTCTTATCAGTTCAAGGAAATCAACCAAAGCAATGCCTGTTGGATCCTGTTGTCTGCCAGCATTATTTAACTATCCAGTGTCGCAGTTCCTGACATCGTAGCTCTAGCAGACACAGAAAGGTCTGCTTTTCCCCCTGTGTATCTTCATAATCTCTGTGCATGGGGACTGGAGCTCCAGCACATGCCTGTCTGGGTCAATAAGACTTAGTGTCTTAGCAACTATAAGGTATGTTTGCTTCTCAGAAAAGAAAAATAACGAGGTAATTGTAATTACCATTAATACAACAAAAGTAAATCAATGAAGCATTAAGACAGTAATCTACCTTTGCTATGTCATTGTTTCCCAGATCAGTAGACACACAGATTTCCTGCTGACACAGGCAAGAGGGTAGATGCAAGAAGGTATCTCGGGTGCTGCTGAGCACTGTTCTTGTCCAGGGCACTCTGAGAGCTGGGCTGTTACTTAGGGCTCTCCAGCAGAGCTATTCAGACTGTATTGCTTCAACATCCAGGAGTACCTTACTTTATCACATGTTGCTGTTGCTTCCCCAGGACCATTCATGGACAACACTATTACTCAATTCACCACTTTAGCAGTAGATTTAGATAGGGTAAATTGTAAGACAGCTCTTCCTTTAGAGCCTTAATAAGCCAAGGTAGGGCAAAGGGTATGGAGAAGAGGAAAACAGAAATGCAATTGATATCATCAAGGTTGTCAGCTTTAAAAATGATGGTACTTGCAGGCTGCGTCCCCTTAATCCAAATGTAGCTCTGCTAACTGGAAAGCCATGAGAACAAGATTAATGCAAAAAGACACTATTGTATGAGACAGGGTATGCAAAAATATTTCTGCATGTGCTCCTGTAAGTCATTTCTTGGTTATTAAAAGAAAATCTCATTAAAATGTAATAAAAGGGCTGGCTCCAGAGATTTCTCAGAGGAAAGTTTAGACAGATGTGTAAATATGTTTTCCAGTGTAGATGGTCCCCTTGCTTCATGCATTTTTGCTCCCCAAATTGAAAATGCAAACGCTCATAATGTCAAATTTAGGATGAACACCATGAGTGTGGGTCTGGACCACTGATCCTGTTGCAGTAATTTAAATGAATGCAGAAAAGGTCAAAGTAAGCAGCTATCCTGGCTTCCCAGCCTGAAGTGCCATCTTGTCACCAAACTACTTCAAATATTAAGCTGTCAAAAAGGTTTAAAACCCAAGTGATGCATTTGGACTAGCCCAGAAGCTGCTCACTTTGTCCTAGTACTATCAGTAGTTGGTCAGCAGTTGCCCTGATATTCAAAAAAGAAAAAACAGTGGACCTGGTATTTTCAGGACACTTATCAAAATATATGTCCTGATATTTCCTTTAGATCTCCCACCATCTTTCTTATTCATGAGAATGCTTTGCAGTGCTGAATAGCTGAGGATGGCCAAAAATATGCTTCTTCTGTCTATGCAGTTCTCCAGCCAAGTAAGACAAAAGAGCATATAAAGCCCCTAATGGCTGCCTTAACGAGTTTCATTTCCAAATCGGTTTGTCTGGTGCCATTCCCACTTTCTGCAGGGAAATGTGCACAAGTTGTACTTGGAGGATTCATTTCTTTATAGTGCCAGCTGGGGTCACAAAGGAACCAGCACAGATGCAAAATGAAAAAAATGGCAGAGGAATCTCTGAACTGCTGAGCCAGAGCCCTGCATGTATTATCCTCCCTGTGCTCAAAGGAGATCATGCCTTGAGGCGATGGACTGGAGCCACTCCTCTGTCACTTCTTTCAGAGAGACAGCTTGGGCAAAGGTACAAAGACAGGGCAAGGGGGAGACGCAACCCAGCTCCAGTCTGAGAAGGCTTGCTCTCTCGTATGCTCCCCCTGCCCCTCTTTCCTCTCTTTCTGTGTCTTATTTTACCTTTTCTCTCCTCTTCCTCTGGTGTTCTCTCCACTCTATTATCTTTTCTGGGTTTTTCTCGTGTCCGTTTTCGTGTTCTTGTTTCCCACCCAACTATACACATATTATTTCTATTTTCCTTCCTGCTGTCTCTGCTTTCCTCTCCCAGGCCTGTACCGGCTCAGCAAGGGTCCTTCTGGCCGCAGCTGTCCTGTGCTGTTGGCTGCATTTCCTGACCCTGCTGCTGTCAGTGTACACGGTGGGCACTTCCCTAGGAAAGCAAGGGGGGCAAGGATGCCTGACAGCAGAAGCTAAAAGGTCCAGCATATCACCAAGGATCACGGTTTGTGAGACAGGTCTGTCCTCACAGGAAGGGAGCAGTGCCAAGCCTCCCCGCATCTCTTCTAGGACCAGGGGAAGGTATCTCACCTCCTCGCTTCCCCTCTGCAAGACAGACATTTGGCCACTGCTCAGGACCCTACGCATGTCCTGGAGGTAAAAACTTTGAAGTTGCTGAGAGACAAGCACCAGTGGAGGCATTAAAATCCTCATGGTGTGTATAGGACTGGTTAGATGTGCTAGTGGAGCGCTCAGACTGGAGCACATGCAGGCAAAAGCAAGTGGGAGGGTAAGGGGGAGTGTATGAGAAAAGACTAAAAAAAGGCTTGGCTTCTTTTATCTAGCAAAATGAATGCTGAGAGGGAGTATGATTGCCATCTATAAATACGATGAGGTAAACACTAGGAGGGAGAAGAGCTATTTAAGTTAGATGACAGAGATGGCACAAGAACAAATGAGGATGAACTGGCCATGAATGCATCGAAGCTGGAAATTAAATTTCTAACATCAGATCAGTGAGATTTTGGAATAGCTTCCCAGTAAGACTAATGGGACAAAGAAATCTGATTACTGTTAAAGTGGAGCTTGATCAGCTATGCAAGTGTTCATGTGCCTGGGCATTTGCAGTAAAAGGTGGCTGGACTCAGGGACCGAGTGATCAAAGCCCTTCCAGTCCTGTGTCCCTAAACCCTGCTCCAGCTGCCAGCAGGAGTTTGGAGGGCTGAGCCTTGTTTCTGTGCAAGATCCAGGAGGATGGCTCTGCATCTCGGGGGTTAAGGAGCAGGCAGAGGCTCCTGCATCTCAATCCAAGTTTGTAACTACCAGCACCTTGCTACAAGTAAATGCCCTTCCCACTGGAGCGAGCTTGTGGGTGAAATGCTGGCCCCACTGAAGGCAATAGACATTTTACTACCCGTTTAAGTGACCTTTGCTTATTAGCTCCTACAGGTAGGTTTGGCCTTTATTCTTATGACATGTGCAGAAGCAAATAATAACGATGCTGCAAGTTATCAAGAAGTATCACACATGAACTCAAGTGAAGTTGTGTCATAGAATTACTGCAATAAATTTTTCCAAAGCAGATAAGAAGAGATACACGCTTACCTCCATGCCCGTGTCTTCATTGCTCTCATTGCTTGAGTTAAAGACCACAGGGAGTTCAGTGGGCTCATTCACAGAACCACTCTCAGTGCTTCAATGCCAGCTCTGTATTTGAGATTTTGAATTGTGCGTGAATGTTGGAATATATCTCACTTTTTCAAAAGGCTGCAAAAGTTTGTGAAGAATAGTCTGTATAAAGCATGAGACAGCTGCACTGGTGTGTCACAACCAAATGGAGGATTCTCACCTTATGCTTTTGCAGAGCTCTGAATTCCACCCTCACTCCCTACCAAAGGAGAATAGCATCGCAGCTAGAGTCCAGGTGTTGCTGGCTTCTACAGACATCGTAAAAATCAATTGCTATTAGATGTCCTGAATTTTTAAAGCCAGCAGATTCACATCTATTAAAGGAAGTTCTAAATCCTACCAAAGACTTCACATAAAATTAGAAACTGCAAAACAGAAGTCACTGGAAATGGTCTGACTGGATGTCACCCAGCTAATAAAAAGGCATTCAACCCCTGAAAGCATCACTAAAGTACTTTTGACTAAAACTTGCCCAAGAAAAAGGAAGACTGCAAATACAGAATCGCTGCAGAGCATTCAGAATGGCCATCTAAAACTGAGAAACATGGACTTCGACCATGGAAACCTGAAGTCAATAGTCAGGGAAGTTAATGGCAAAACTCTTTATCAATTGCTCTCCTGGAGGTAAAGGTATGGTGGAGTTCCTGCCAGCACTTCTTTGCCTAATCACCATGGACTTCTTTAAAAACCTGAGAGCGCTGACAGATGGTATGTTGGTGATCAACTTGTCACTGTGATCTATCCAGCTATTTCAGACAGGCAGATAATGACTTTGCTTCACTCATGCTTGTATCCCATTGATCTTAAAGGAAAAGTTGCTACACATGAGGTAGTTTTAACCAAATTGCTAAAATTACAAGGTAGTATTTTTAGTGGATAAATTTACTATGAAGTATTTTTTCCTCCAGAAAAGCAATTTTGTTTCACACTAAAATTGAAGTATCTTCTATCTTAAAAAAAAAAAGAAAAAGTTAAATTATAGTGTTAAGAAATGATAGTAGCACAAAGAGACAGCTATAATCACATTTCTTCATAATTACTGCATTCTGAAAATCTTAGAAATGTCCCCAAATCATTTCATTAAAAAAAAATCAATTCTAGCCCATAGTTCTTCATGCCAAATTTTAGGTTTGTGAACTGATTTATAAATCCTGCAAAAACACAGCTTTTAATAGAAACTCCAAGACTTTAATAAATGTGATCCAAGTGGTGCAGCTGGATTGAAAATCAGCATTCATGTTATTGCTGCAAGTTTTGAGATGAAGAAGCAAGCCGTGGGCTCCTCTGATGAAAACTGACAGTGCCGTTAGCGGGGCTGTGATCATTTCCACAGGCCAAGCGAGGGGCCAGGAACATTCTCTGTGACCGCATCACAAACCCATCTGCTTTTCATCGCCTTGGCCTTGCTTGTTTGCCCTGACTGCCCCATCCTTCCGTACCGTGTATCCGCTGCCAGTGTTTATGTTCCCAGTTTTGGGGGAGTACAAGGAACTGCTGAATAATAAAGAAATGACTTCTGCATTGTCAACTGGGAGACGCCAGATGCACAGCCCATGCCAGGAGCAAGGATGTGCGGTCACAGCCACTGCTCTGGGGCAATGAGTGCTCTAGAAATATTGCAGGCAACCAGCTTTATCAACTTTCTCTCTGCTCTGGGCATGTCCTTGAGGAGAGTGGCTGGTGCAAAGGTGCCTAATGAGCTGATGACACATGTTACCTTAGTGGGAATATATAGAGACAGAAAATGAGAAGGAGCAGGATGAGGCACTAGATATAGCTATCACTGCGCTGCTGGTGCTGTCTGATGTGAGATTCATGGACTGTGGGGCCACAAGGGACCGTTGTGATCATCTGGCTTCACTTCCCGCACAGCCAGGGCACAGAACCGCCCTGGATTAATGCCTCTTTCAAGGTCAGTGCTGGTGGCTCAGCAGCAGGGTCCCTTTCAGCCCGAGCCTGGATTTCAGGTGGATTTGAAATGGGCTTCTTTCAGTGTGCTGGCGTTAATCTATATCTGTTTGTGTGTATAAACTTACATATATATGTGTGTGTATATATACACATCTGTGTGTGTGTGTGGTCAGTGTATTTGCGTTATTGTGTGTCCTAACTCTTTCTTCCAGGCTGGAGTTTGGCCCATTTGGAGCACAGTTACATGCTTTGCAAATTATTAAACCTATTTCTGTAAAAGCTTCAGCTGAATAGCTCTAAAAATACTGTGCAGTTGCTTGTAGAGGGACCCAACACTGTGTGTGCGTGTGTGCGCATGCACAGCCTTTCCTACCTGTGCTCTCTGCTGTGCTCGCAGTGTGGTTTCTCCCATGTCTGTTTAAGCCGGGGCAGAGTACATTTGGTGTAGAAACACACCAGACCACTTTCTGCATCCTGAATCAATGGAATTCAATCAGCAGGATTCAGTCAATGAGGGCAAGGTTTTGCCTCTGGTTGTTACAAACCTTCACCCAAATGAAATCCAGTTTCTGCGATCAGATAAAAGCTTCTAAATGTCAATGTGCATTTTTTGATATGTATAGTGTAGTTGCCCTAAATGTGGCAGTCCTGGTAGAGAGGAGTATTTGCAGGTGCTTTCCCTAGAGATAATGGAGAGGCTGCAGAGCTCTGCAGCTTTATCCTCAGTGACCCAGCTTTGGGGAAGCTTGCAGAAGAATGTCTGACTAGCTGAGAGGATCCTGCTGGTCCCCACAGAGGAACTTTTGCCAGAGATTTCCTGACCCCAAGCCCCCATCGGTGTGGTCCCTATTTAAACCAAGGGGCAGAGGAGCTGCATGGCTGCCCAGCCCCATGCCCTCCTCCCCTCTCTTTGGCCAGCATTTCTCCTTCCTGCTGTATTTCTCCACCTCCCACGACATGGTTATTCCAGGCAGGTCGTGGTGTGCTCCACCACTTTGCTTGGTGACTGCCCTGCCCCTGAGATTCTGTCTGTGTTACATGGCACAGAGCAGTGTCCACGACTGATACACAGGACAGCCCTTTTATCCCATCCCATCTGGCTGTTTCCTTTAAGGAAATCTCTCCAAAACAGGGTTTGGCCCATCATGTCTCTTTGTCCAGCACCCTGCCCAGTGCATCTCACCCTTCGCAGGGCTCCTGGGCCGGTAGCACAACATAAAGATGTTTTTGACCAGGCACACGGGGGACATGTGGGACTACGTGACCTGAGAGCACAGGGCCTCGTCCCCCTTCCCTCAGGTGACACCTGCACTGTCAGGTATTTCCAGGAGTGTCGGGGCACTCTGGGCTTCCTGCAAAACCATTCTCAGTGTCCGGGGACAGCGGGTGCTCTGCAGGCACAGGGATAAAATGTGGCTGCTGCACCCTGAAGTGGGGTGGCCGTGGCCCTGAGGGCTGTTAAATAGGACTGTGAAGGTGGGTGACAATACCTTTGGGGTCTGGCTGTAGGTGCTGGGTACCAGCTGGGATTTTATATCCCAGTGGACTTGAACACATCAGTGAACACATTGTTCCAGGTCTTAAAACGTATTATGAAAGCTAAGCAAAAATTAATGAGAGATCAGGAAAAAATAAATGTTGTGGTAATTTTGAACACTTTGTTTCAATTTTAACCTCCTTTATTGTTAAGCATTTCCTTGTAAATATAGTAAAATAGCAGAGCCGAACCCTCGGAAACAGAGGCAGGGGGCGTTCCAGTTTGGAAGCAGACACAGAAGAGCAACGATGGCTTCATAACTAATTTTCTGGAAACGGGGTTGGGATTTGCTCTTGAACTGTCACTTCCTCAGGACCAGCTGTACTTTCAGCAGGTGTGGCTTTTAAGGGAAAAATGTCAAGGTGGAAAATTCAGCAGCTTTAGCAAGTACAGTGATTCACAGCTCCTCCTTGCTGGGACTCACCTGATGACCATACGCTTTGTTGAGCCACTTTTGCTGTGGTGGAGCCGTGCACCCCCAAAGCAACAGCCCCGCTCCTTTCGCTGAGTGCCATAAGAGATGCTCCAGCGAGCTCACTCCAGGCCCCCCAAACCCCCATCCCTCAGAGAGACGCTGTGCTTGCCTCTCGGTGCTGTACTGAGGCATTACCCAGCTCAAGTGAGGCTTCTACAAATGGCAGAAAAATCAAGAGCATATTGACACATGTGCTTAATACAATATCAGCCTTCCCCAGCCGCGCTGGCACGGGCACCCTGGGACATGGGGGGTCCCAGCTGTCATGCTGCAAGGGGTGTTTTTCCAACAGTAGCATCTGGAAGGCAGCCCTGGACTCCTCTCTGCTTTTGCTGGCAGATCTGAACAGGGTTTTATGCTTTGTTATTGCCAACGGTTTTTTCCTTGAATTGAGAGAAACCTTGTAGCCATTACATCTCCCCTAACTAAATACACAGATGCGTTAGCAAATCCCCTTTGTCCCGAGCAGCTCCTATCTGCATGTTATGTAGGTGGTTTGGATCCATCCTTCTTCATTAGTTATTTTGAAACTGCCAGCATGCCAACCCCTGTACACTGGCATTCGAGTCGTGATTACTGGTTACCGAAGGAAATCTTTTATTTTCCAGCATGCTTGTGTTCATTGCTTGGTGAAGTGACTTTCCTTTGTGATTTTCCCTAATGCTAGTGAACAACTGTCAAATTCATACAGTTAAAGAACTCAAATGGTGAGACCAAGGTGATAGTCATCTCTCATTTTTATTCATGACATCACTGGGCTGAAGTCTTGGGTGGGAACTGTCTGTTTATTACACCATTAACCCATTATCATACTTTTTGAACAGCTCAGTAACAAAATCCTTGACAGAGAAACTGCAGACTGGAGACCCTACAGCTATCTGAATGAACTAGGTCAGTAATTTTAAACAATTTAATCACTTTAGTAGACTTTAGAGCAATTCCAAATCCAAATCAGCCTTTCATAAAGGCATTAACAATAATGAAGGGTATCAGCGCTGTCTTTACTTCACAATCAGAATTGCCAATAGTGAAAGATGAAGAATTAAAATTCTTTCCTTTACCACAAACCACAGATTGGGAAAGCAGAGTCAATACTCATTCTGGTCTCCCTTCCTCGGTTGCTTGGTTTGAATCACTATCATCTACTCTATACATTTTTTTCAAGGACTAACTTAGAACAGTAAAAATTCAAATTTGGGATTTTTTTTTTCCTTCATAAAGTTTAGCACTAAATACTGGCATCTTGATAAAACTGTGGAGCCTCTGGCAGGAGCTGGAGCATGTGATACACCCTGTTATCTCCCAGTTAATCATACAGTGGCCATTTTTCAGGCAATTTTGAACAACCAGCCAGTGCAGACAAGCCAAGAGTGAAGTCTAATTGCCATTTCTGAGTTTATTCTCCCTGGCTTCAGTTTTAACAGGGTTTTTAGCAGCTCTCATCTCAAAAATCTATCCAGATTTAGTGCTTTGGCTGCAATTTGTTTTCCTATCTGAACATTTGGAGTTTAGCTTGTCAGTGACAGAAAGCATTTTCCCTTTCCTTTATTGGGATTACTAATATCTTACTGAAAGTGGTATTATGGGATTTTTAAGGTCAACTATCTCACAGCTCACATGGCAAAGGAATTAACACAGGGCACTACCAGGCATCACATCTTGTCACTGCTCTTTTGGTCACACACCATGCCTTGCTCCAAAGAACAAGTCTTCCCTGCATCAGGAAAATCACAAACCTGTCAAGCTTTAATGCAAAACCTTTTCCATCATTATCAACATTAATTTTTTCTGCTGTATAATAAAATGCAGAATTGCTTTTGTGCTTATCTGTATATAACATGGAGTGTTGGGGGTAGTGAGGATTTCCAGATGCTCCTCAAATCAAGTTAATTTTCCTTTTACCATTTTACTGCTTTGCTCACTAGCTTTATTTGTTTTTATCTTGCAGTGTCCTAAACTCCCTGTATGCCACATTTGTCCTGCATTCATGCATTTTATTTTACCAACAGAAGCAATGCTAAATGCCGTTGCAGTAAGAATTATGTAGAAGTGATAAATACTTCAGCTAAGTGGTCTCCAGCAAAACAGTCACTATTTTTTCCATGGCATTTTGCATCCCAGATACTTTTTTACCTTGTTTCTTTCAAAATGTCTTTTTCACACTAATTGATATACACTTTTTTTTTGCCTTTCAGTACCAAAATTAATGCTTGCTTATGCTAACTTTCATAACGATAAATTCCTGCTCAGATCAAAGCCATTTTTACATGAACCTGTAAAATGTTTTCATTTAATGGTGTGACTTTTGTGCAATAAAAGCCGCTAATTCCACTTACATGGGAAAATTTCAGAAGAAAGTGAAAAACTTAAACTTTGAATTGTAAACTTAAAATACAAGTGAAGCCTAATAAAGTCACAGAGGGGATCTTGACCTTTAAACTGCATCATGCATGGAAGTACTGAAGAGTTAAAGAGGTGTATTACCTTCTCATCCCACTATTAGCCTTAGTTTTTATGACAAGATGCTCCAGCTCATGTGTTGGAATAGCAGCCAAGTGTTGTGCGTGGCTGGATTCAGTGAAAAATAGAGACAATAGCAGTGGACAACTCCTATTGTGACCCCATGAAATATTATAGACAGAAGATGGGTAAGTGAGCTGGAAGCAGGGAAGATTAGAAATGGAAGAAAAATTCGGAATGGATGGAAAAACCTCAATTCTTCTGATCACCTCCCTGGTTCTTCCACCAGCAACTCCTCCAGCAGAGGCAGCGGTCCCAAAGGACAGGCTCTTTGCACCAACTGCATGAGTATCAGGCTCACAAAAATACCTGTAGGCTTGTTAGAAACTGCAAGTGTCATAAATATGAATTATAGTTGGAGAAAAGGAAATCATAAGAATATCCATGTGAAAATTAACTTGGGCACTCATCTTCTAAAACCTGCAATCATAAGGAGTTTTCTTAATTTTTTTTTGACCTATGAAATGCACTTCTGATCAAATACTGTGCTCAAAGTTGGATGCTGTCCAGATCTGTCCCAGGCTGACACATTTTATATCTTGAACTGCAGCATACCATCACTTTTCAGGGTCATGGCTGTGCTCAGACCAGCTGTAAGCATTCAGGGACTCTTCTGATGGGGAAAACCTTGCTTCTCGCTACCACACTGGATCAAGGCTTAGACTCCCCTTTGATCTCACAGCTCAGGGAGAGTGGGAGAAGCAGCTACTCCCAAGGAGAAGATGCTGCCTTAGGAGCAGCCGCTGGCAGCTCAGTAGAAGCCAGGAGACTGTTCCTAGCAGGAGCAGAGCACTACTGAGTGGTGGTATCATGCCCTTTTCTGTCTGCTTGGCACCCCAGCTCTTCACTTCCAAGCAATGTATCTCTACATCTGTGTCTAAAAGAGGATAACAGAATGCTTTCTGGAAATACCATGTACTTTCTATTTGCTCATAAATGCAATCCCACAGGTAACAGGTTTGAGTGCTTTAATTAACCCCTCTTTGCTCTCCTCACTCTTGCAGGCTGCACTTTTACAGCTTTGGAAAACACCTTTTGATTGCTCACAGTTTGCATCATTGATCCTTGCTCAGCCAGCAGTCATTCCTCAGACATTTTGTTTGGAAAGGGAATGAAAGAAAGATGTTCTCTGAAGGAGCAGAGAAAGGGCTGTTCATATCGAGGTGGCTCAAGGCCAGAGGAACAGCCCATTTCAGAGTCCACCATGGTCATTATTTCAGATGATTCTCCTGCACACTGCCACAGCAGCACAGATCCAGGCGACAGAGCAAATGTGGCAAGAAAACAGGAGTGTGAATTCACCTGACCCAGCACCAGCTTCCTGGGAAGAGCATGTGTCAGATGGCCAGAGGCTGTTTGCTGTATGTGATGCCAAGAAAAACTAGTTTTAACCTAGGCCACAATGTAACGCCTATCTAAGTCAATGCGTGTGTTCCCTCTGGTATCAGCAGGGCTCTCTGAACCTAACAGGAAGAAATTGTGTAGAAAACCATGATACGTGTATGCATGTCTATGCATATATCCAATGTATATATAGAAGTATTCATATGTATAACCACTGTACATACACATACAGTGGATCTTACCAGACTGCAGGTATTATTTTGCCTGTTTTGTAGGACTAAAATTGCCAGGTTTGTGTTCTTTCCAACTGGGAAATGCAAGGGGCAGAACACAGCCTGTAATTTTACTGCTGGCACATTTGCTTGTGAGCTTCAAATACCAGGCTTTGTCAGAGAGATAATCATATCTGTCAAATGGACTTGGAGTCTAGTGATGAGCACATTTGCACAATTAATTCTCATGAGCGTGTGCTTAAGATCAGAGTTTGGGGACTCTGTGGTGCCAAGAAGAGATGCTTTGTCACCTTCGCTCTGTGTCACTACCTGTTCAATGCAGCCTAGCCCTACCAGTTTCAAGGAATGGCTTGTCTTTGCATTTTCTATTTGCTCTTGCTTGTTGCAGAACCGGAATCGTTTGCCCTGTGGCTAATCTCTCTTGCTCTAGTCCAGTCTGCATTAAGCAATTGCAGAGTCCAGCTTCCAGCTGCTATTCCAAGCAAGTCAAAAGCCCTAAACCACCTACTGAGTGCAGAAAAGGTTGTTATGATCATTGGCTTGAGTGCTGGACACAGTGAGCTGCAGACAAAAATGGTTTTATCTGTGATGCTTTTTTCAACAGCAGTCCTCAGTGCAGAGACTAAAGTGTGATTTGCAGCACATTTTGAATGACACAAAGCTGCATTTATTCCAGAGGACCAAAGCCACAAAGTCTGATTCAGGGCTGACTTTGCATTTTTCTCAAAGCCAAGAGGTGAGGAAAAATATTTCCAGCTGAGGCTGATTCCACCCTAGCAACTATTCAGTTTCAAACTTAAACCTAGGCTTTCCTCAAGTGCCCGATTCCCGGACTGTTTATGCTTTTCCACATTAACTACATTTTCAGTTTAAAAAATAATGTATCCATCATTCATATCACCTCCAGAGGAATGCAATGAATACACAAAAATGGGTCATAAACCCCACAGGATTATAACAGACATAAAAGAAGACTAAAGGTAGAAGGGCAGAATTACAGAGAATAGGTTGGGAAGGGCTTTCAGGGGTCATGTAGCCCTCCCAAGGCAGCACTAGCCCTACCTGTACCTTTCCTAGCAGGTGTACCCCACCTTTTTTTTCCTGTGAGTGTTCTACAGCCAACTGGAGTGTGAGAACTAAGCTGAAGCATGGCAATGCGCTATTTTGCAGCTTGGTGTGGGCAAGGACTGCCTGTTACCCGGCTCAGAACCAGAAGTCAGGGTCACTCAGACAAACCCTGTGTTAACACAGCAGCCTGCCCTCGGGGAGGCTCTCACAGCAAGTTTAGGCTTATTCAGAGCAGGCACAGTGATCTGGTGCTGCTGCAGAAACCCTTCCAGATGTGCCTGACATTTCCAATAGAACCGTCAGGAGCTCACATGGAGCTGAGCTAATGAGATATGCTCAGAAGGTGGAGTCCTTCCCTTCTGAGCTACCAAAAGAGCTGGGTGATATCATTGCATCCTCACAGCAGCCCCAAGGCTTCAGCCTTCATTCAGGCCTTCACAGTAGCAGTGGGAACACACTGTAAAGATCTGATGAGGGTGCTCAGAACAGATGCAACATTCTTGTACAAGGATGGGCTGTGCAGCGAGCACAGCTGACCATTCCCTGGGTAACCTCTGCTTTGATAAGCCACTTACTCTTCATGGTCCTTATTTAACCAATTCATTAATCCCAGCAGCTAGGGGATCAGTCCTGTGGGTTTTGCTGCTTGCTTTATCTCTAACTCCAGCGTGGCTGGTCAATATTTTAAAGTTACTAGGGAGGACTAGGTAGATCACGGTCCTGAGCAAAGCTACCCCTCCCCATCTTCCAAAGCCAGAGGTTCCTCCTCTGTTGCTGTTGTACTACATGTGCAATGCTGCTCCCCATGGCTCAGCCTGGATCTCTTGTTACTTCCCTGCCACTGCTCTCTCTTCATGGCTACAGCCCCCTCCACCCTGTAACCCCAGCTGGGTGCTCACCAGGTCCTTACATGCCAGCCTTGCTCTGTGTGGTGTGAGCTGCCTCCTGCCGGAGGCACGCTGTGTCTTCTCCTGGAAGCTGGCCCAAACACCGCTGGGGTGCTCCTGGAGGCTTGCTCAGCCCTGGCAGGAGGACGTGTGGTCATCGGGGATGGCCTCTGGGAGCACCGCTGCTGGGAAAGAGAGTCCAGGCCTGTGGATGTGAGCCAAGGGGTGAATTAGCTCCAGCCTCTTCACTCAGGACTCTGCCCAAGAAGAATACAGGAGAGAAATAAAGCACACTGCTAATGCTATTATGTGAAAGAGCTTCCCCGCTATGCCCAAAGCACCCGGTCAGCCTTCCCCTCTGCATCTTTCAGGGGGCGAGTCTGGGAACTGGCTCAGGACAAGTGGTGGAAAGCAAAGCAGAAGGTGCTCAGATGGTTTGTGAGGCTCACTCTTGGCCAGAAGGGAAGGAGCCCCATCACAGAGAGCCAGTGGTGTACCACCAGCCCTTCTCCTGTGCTCAGGGATGGACACTGAGAATCAGAGCAAAGGGGTTTGGTTTTGACATGCCAGTAACACACTTATTGTCTAATTTAGTGATTTTTCTTATTTATCAAAAAAACAAAGCTGTTGTGAAAAAAGGACTGGTACAGCACTGCCAGTGGTGGTGACTGCTTTTTCTGTAGCGACCAGAGGACATGCAAGGACAAATAGCTGGGAGACCTCTGGGACACACTGTTTGCTCTTTTACCAGCATAACTTAGTTACTTAATTGGGAATCCCATAAGCCACAAAGACATTCCTATCTCAGTAACCAAATTTGTGTTGATTTTGCTAGTCAGTAAGAAATATCAGATTCTATAGTTAAAAATTCTATAGTTTCCTTTTGACTGATATATAGGATAATTTGCAGTAGTAAAAATGGAAAGTGTTCCCATCCCCTTCTTCCACTGGTGTAGGAACAGCAACTTCTTACAGCATTGCATAAGGCAGAAGTCTTTGCTATCAGCTCTCTGCTCTCACTTGCTGCATTTTCAGACCACTGTAGTCACTTAGGGACTATTGGCACATCAGTTACTGAACTGTGCAAATTTATAAGCAAAATCATATTAGGTAATGTAGAAAGATTGTACACACTCTAGAATCTAAGATTGTGAATTAAGTAACATACTATCTACAAATGAAACCAAGCCTAAAATTAGTCACCGAGTAATGTAACCTGCAGACTCAGATTTGAAAGGATATGTGTTAGGCTTCTTTTACTAAGCCAACCCAGTGTTTCAGTAATGAACGTATTGGCAGATGATTTTTTTTTTCCTGTTCTGATGGATAGCTGTTCATGGTAACAAGCAGTACCCTGCTTCAGGAAAGCCCTCCCTGGAAGGGAAGCTCTTAAGCATATGCATAATTTTAGGCATGCATAGAATCCCCACTGAAGCTGAGCGCATGCTTACAGCTGAGGATGTGCTTAAGAGCCTCCCTAAATGAGGGCCTTGATGTACAATTTAGAGGAAAGAATATATGCTGCTCAGTAGTCAAAGCAATCCAATTTACATAAATATTTATTTGTTTTCCATTATATATCATTTTTATGCAGGTGCTTGTGGGATGGATAGACGTCAGAACACATACATAATGGAAAAAAGCTTCAAAGGTATGGTATCCAGTGCCTGCAGCCACCCTGGCAAAGAGTTTGAGGAGGGTGTCGTAGAAGAGGTGAGATAGGAGACCCAAGCACCCGGGAGAGTGGCCATGCAGAGACAGAAAGGGACAGAGCAATTACCTACAAAATATGCCTGCGTGGCTCAGCTGGCAGCACTCCTGACTCCGAGCCAGATGTCTGGGGTCCATGAATTATGGATGCGAGTCTTTACAAGGCCGTGCTGTAGGCTCGGCAAAGCTGAATAAGACAAAAAGGGAGGGCTTTGCTGCAGGGGCAGGAGGTGCAGGTGAAGCTGTCTGGCCAGGGGAAGCTCTTTTAGGCCCTATGAGCCATCCTACAGGGGCTTTCTGGTGGCAGCTGCTGATGATAGACTGGTGCGTTTGCCTGCTGAGTTGTGGCTCCCTAAGGCTCTTGGCCATCCTGAGCTTAAAAAAAGCCACTGGAAAACAAGCTGACCCTGCTATGTGGCCTTTGCTGAAAGAGATTTATAGCAGAGCTTGAGAAAAGACCTCACTCAGTACATTAACCAGTCATGCTGGCATGAAGCAATTAATGGGCATTGACTCCAGGGCAGTTCTAAAAAGGGATCATAGATGAGTCATGAGCACAAGGCCCAGTGATTTCAGATTTCAGTTGTCCTCCAGGTTTACATTCAAAATATCCCAGTTATGTGTGGACTACAAGACCACTTGGCACAGTGGTCCCCACAAGCTCCTGACTGACTGGGCTGGGGTTTGGCACACTGGACCTGTGCTCCAGAATACGGAGCAAGGAGCCTGTCTCACTGGGAATAGGCAGGTCGCAGGCTGAGGTCCTTGAGCTGAATTCAAGGCTGTTGTGTCTGTACACACCAGTTGGGAAAGTCCCTCCATCAGCCAAGGAGGTGAATACTGCACAGACTCTTTCTGTAACATCCTTGAGCTGGTAGCAGCTGAGTAACCAGGAAAATGGTACCTTCACACAGAGCTGGTGTCAGGACACCCACGGGTCTGCTGTGGCCGAGGTGCTACAGAGCAAGACCTTTATCTGAACTAACAAGGAATATTGAAAGCTAGTCCACATAAAAAGCAATGACCAGATTATAACCAGCCCTAGAGAACACTCATCACTTCGTAGCTGCTGCTTACAAAATAAAGTGACAGAATATTTGCAAAAACGTCACCTCATCACACAGAATCACCAAAGGAAACCAATAATCCATGACTAAGTCTTTCCTTATAAAGCTAAATTTAAAATATTAAAAGGGTTATGTATGTATATTTGACTCAATCTGCTGGTTTCAGCTACTTCAATGATTCTCTTTTTCAGGAAAAGAATCTTATTATAGTATAGCTAGTTGTTCTCTTTACATGGAACTATTAATTTCAAGATTAAACTAGATTACTGTGTTTACAAAGTTTAAAAGCTGCTTTGAACACACACAGTAGGAATTCCTGTCCATAGACACAGTCAGAGCGTGGGAAACCAGTGTGAATGACAGAAAAAGAATTACAGTAACAGCAAACTGTGAAGTGTATTTTCTGCTGCTACATATTTTGTTTATTGTTTAGGATCTGAGCCATTTTCTTTACATCTTTCTCTCCTTATGAATTGAAAAATCAGGCCCAGAAGCCATGTCAGGAACGTTGATGTGTTCCTTGTGGCAGATGAGCTGCTGCAGACAGGCACGGCTGGCGCTGGCAAGGGCAGGGTGTGGGGACACACCTGACTTCCCAGGGATTTCCAGTAGCTTCCCTGCAGGTAGTTAGTAGCTGAGATGTCTCAGAAGCATCTTCCTTTGGATGGCTAAAGCTCTCCAACAGCCCTGTCTGAAGGTCAGCTGCTGGGCTCAGGCAGTGCCGGGGCTCTGGCAGCAGCACGGGCGCTCTCATCCCCAGTGAGTCTCCCAGCAGAAGGAGCCGGGTGACGTGCCCGATGCTCAGCGCGCAGCTCTTCCTCACCCTGCCAGGTCTTGCGTTGGCCCTGACTAGCCAAATTCATCAGAAAGATGGAGAGAGGGCATCTGCTAGGCTGGGTCATTCAGATAAAAGAAACACCCATCCCAAACAATTGGATTCTGTCAGCAAAAAGACTTGGCAGGCAGGTGCTTTGTTTTTATATACTTTTATGCAGTTTAAAGATTATGTCTTTTCCCATCAGTCTGTGCTAGGTCTAACTGGAGAAAGCTTCCCCTGCAGCTGGAAACAGTGTTTGGTGCTCCTGAGCCCAGCCCCGGGCACTGCGCAGGATGCACTGTGGGGAGGGGGCATGGGGGGCCCCTGAGGTTGAGTTCAGGCTATGATGGACCTGGTCCACTCCCCACTTCCCCCAGTTCTCCTCTGAGGAGACCACAGCCCCCAGTTCCACAGCCCCTGCTCCGTGCTGGCCTGGCTGGAGGCTGTCCCCAGCACACGGCAGCCAGGACAGGGGTGTCCCTTTTGTCATCTGTCACTAGAAATGCAGTGGCCGTGCTGCTAGTGGAGGCCCAGGGCATTAAGCATGGCCAGTTTGTGTTTGCCAGGTCATCCACAGGCCAGCCCGGGTCACGCCGTGGCATTGGCGAAGCAGCAGGAGCCAGTCGGGGCAGTGAGGGGCTGGAGGCCATGGTGCCAGCACGGAGCCGTGTGGCACACGGTGACGGTGGTTGAACCGTCACAAGGTTTTTCAGAGCAGTTTCTTTCCTGTGCATGGTGTTCAGTGATACCAGTCACAAGCTTTTCATTGCAGCTGAGTCCTTTTCTGTTTCTTAGTGGGGTTTTCTTTAAATGAATGTTGATGCACTGGTAGAATAATGTGACCTCAGGCACTAACATTTTAAGGAAAAATCCCTATGCTTTGCACAATAGCCAGCAAAATCCCAGCAGTTAGAAACACTAATACACTTACCTCAGGGATGTGGGCCTTGGTGCAGTGTGGTTCATCTGTTTGTTGTGCAGGAAAGTGTCCCCACAACGGTGTCACACGGAAAAGCAGCAATAAGCCATCGCTATGCTACTGTCCTGAAGCGGCGAAGGTTAGCCAGGTTAATAAAGCAGCCAGAAAGGCACGCTACACTGAACGTCATCCATAAATGTGATTAAATAGTAGGAGAGCGTGTTTTACCTGTGTACATCATATTTCATTAGCACTTCAATCGTGGCAGTAGGCACCAAGGCTGTCATTTGTATGCCAGAGGCTATTCAGGGCAAAAGAGAGGAACCTGGTCTGTGGGAGGGACAAGTACATTTCCAGTCCCTGGTAATAAAAATAAAACCTTCAAAGGTCTGGTGATTGGTATCCAGGCAACACAGAAGACGGGAACTTCAAAATTAGAGCATATTCCCCATATTTCTCTAGTGTCCAGCTGATCAAGCACTTGCAGCCAGTGCCCGTGCTGCTGGTGGCAGTGCCATGGGTCGGGCTGGGCTCTGCACCTCCCCAGAGCCTGTGGGCCCCGGGAAGATGATGAGGCGGCCTCGCCAGAGCTCACACATGGCCTGCAGGGTGAATGGGCTGAGAATTTCTAAATACATTTGTTCTGGGTGAAATTTAAGTCAGGAAATGAAATTTGACAATCGATGCCAGACTTTTTAATTATCCCCAAATTACCTCAATAACGAAGTAACTCAGATGCGTCTACATCCTTTAGAGTTAAACTCTCCACGATCTTGTGCATAATGTGTCTTGTGGGCTAATGACTCCCTGGTGTATAGCACATTACCGAACATACGCTGGTGCTCCGTAAATTATACTGTATCTAGAGCGAAGGGGCTAATCCCCAGCTAGTCACAGTGTTCCCATTTACGTCAGCGGGAATCGGCTCTTAGGCCTGCTGTTTCTCAATTTCTTCTGGGAAAAGGCAATTCTTGGGAAAGGCCAAATGAGTCTGGGCAGCCCAAGTGGTATTTCACTGGTATTTGCTGACAGGGTCCTGGGACAGGAAGGGCTGGTGCTGCAGCTACAGCCTGAGGGACACCTGCCTGGGGGTAGTGTCAGCCCTAGCAGCAGTACAGGTGAATTTTAGCTTAGGAAGATAAAAGTAGCTGAGCTGGATGTAATAAAACATACGATGTGCTGGGATTTTGGCCTATGCCAGCTTGCTCTGATGTGCCCACTTCCATAAACCAGCACTGACCCACGCAGCTATTCACCTGCCTGCTACAGCACCGCAGGACAGGGACTGCTTGCTCTTCCCCCTTTTCACAGTAGCAGCCAGCAGTCTTTTATAATTGGCATTTTATGAATCTAAACCCAGCTCTGGTTTGATTTGTCCCCTCCCAGCCATGGTGCTGACAGGGAGTGCTTTGTAGGGGACTCTCAGGGCGCTGGCAGCCTCACACTCGCACGTGGAGCTCGCTTTGTCCGCTCGCCCTCGCACGCTCCGAGCGCCACAGGCACCTGCTCACGGTGACGCCTTCTGTGAGCTCCTGCCTTCTGCCCCAGGAGCAGCACGGCTTGAGGCAGAGAAGCAAGTTTGCCACTGTCCTCCTGTCCTCGCGCCCCCAGATTTATAGCTGGCTGATGGAAGGCTGCCCAGGCTCTCCTGACGAGCACTATGTACTCCTCAAAGCCAGCAGAAGCTGTAACTTGCTGGCGGGTAGAGCTGAGCCTTTTTTTGACTAAGGAGGAAATAAAAGCCTCAGGGCCGAGTCTCTCCCCCTCATTGGGGTTACGTCCCTGAAACGGTGAGTGCTCCTGCAGTGCCCAGAGCTTTCAGTTTCTTCCCCACATGAGACAGTTCGCCCAGCACAGGTATTTTAGCCTAAAGTTTTAAATTTTATTACAGTATATATAAATATATAAATATATATTTATATTATAAATATATAAATAAAATTTATTATTTGTCTCCTCACCTTTAAACACTGATGGAACCTAGACTGCATGGCACCTTAATTAAAGTCATGTTCATAGCAAAAGCTAATAATGCTGAGCTGGATCATGTGCGGAACCCTTCGGTCTTGCTCATTAGAGGGACAGGACGGGACAGATTTTCACCCACCTGCTTGTACTGGGATGGGGCTGGTGAAGCTGGAGGGCCAAACCCTGCTACTAGCAGCTGGGGAATATTTGCATTTCTTTGGGTCCCATCTCCTGTGATGTACCAAAACACCGAGGATGAAGTCAGACAAATTTCTTAATTTTATTGCACTGGTGCCAGGCCCTCTGCCAGCCCTCACGTCCCTGATGGTCCCAGCATGGTCCAGCTGCTTTGCTTTGCAGTGGGGCTTCCTACCAAGCTGGTTTCATTCACCCTGAGAGCTGAGAACTCTCCAGATTTGCTCATATCACTGAAATCGGAGCACAGAAACGCGATATCTTGCTGCAGGCCGCAGGGCACGACCTGACACCTTGCTCGGGCTGCCGGCCACTCAGGGCTATGCCCAGCTGAGCCAAGACGAAGGGCACCAGGCCCATGGGCTGATGGACACGCAGACACACAGAGACACACAGACACAACCCAGAGCTGACAGAGGGAGAATCGCACCACAGAGCGAGGCAAACCTGAGCAGTGAGTGAGCAGGATGGGGCGGCTAGGCACAGAGACGAGGTTTGTAAAGGAGAAGCGATATCTTGTTGTCTGTCTATTTCTTAACCTGAATTTCTCTTTTTGTCTCCCATACTAGATAGCGGGGGCAGCTGGGATTGCAGCTATTTTGCAAGTCCCGCTATTTCACCGGGAGTATTTCATATATACCAGGATCTGCCTTTGTACTGTAACCCAGCACAAGAAAATGCCTCATCTTTCATTGCATCGCTCTAATTCTAAATTAATGGCACTGCCCAGCAGGATGCACACAGCAGCAATGGCACGTTCTTGAATGTCAATGTTAAGACCTATTTATTCTCTTATTGTTTTTTTTTTATTTTTAAAGCAAGACTGGCACTGTACCTTGCAGCAGGCTGGCCTATCCCAGCCAGGGTCACCGCCAGGGGAGACGGGTGGTTACAACTCACACACCAACCTTGTTCTCCCCATGTAGCACCTCCTCCGTCACCATCTCCTGTTTTCTCCAGCCTAGGGGAGAGGAGCAGTAGATATCTGCAGCAACGGAGGGGGAAAAAAAAAAAATAGCCAAGCAAAAGCGAGGTTCAGATGGAGGCTTGTCGTCCCCCCTCTGAGGAAACCCAAGCATTCCCTGCTAGCAGGAGCAGCCTCCTCCCAGTCTTAATGGCAGCGGGAAGATGAAGAGGTTTCTCCTGGAGCTGGATAGCCCCAGAAACCGGAGGTCTCAGGGGACACACGTGCATGCGCTGCACTGATGCAGTTCTAAGCCTGCTAGAAATGTTTTGCATTCAAACATATGGCATTTGATGTTGGCCAGAGCCCCCGGGACACTAACCCTGTAGCTGGCCCAGCAGGCCAGGGACCAGCAGAAGGTCCTGCCTGCAGAGCCGCCTCACCACGGCCGCGTGCATGGGTCTGTGGGGCAGGCGGAGCGGGATTAAAACGTAGCTCCTTAGGAATAAGGGGGAGGGAAGGAAAGGATTGCCACCTCCAATTAAATATTGCAGTAAATGATAACTAGAACCTTTTACAGGAAAACCTTCGGTATTGAGCAGGTTTTTATTTCTTTCCTGCTAGTGAGTTGTGGATGCAATGGTCTGGACACACCCAGAGCACAAGCGCCGGGTGTCTGTGCTGGATGCTTCAAGGATCTTCCTTACCCCCCTGGCCCTTGTCCCCCCCACCCTTCCTGCAGAGGTTCAGCTCTAATTAACCTAAGCAAGCTAACAACTCTAACACGCACACTCCACTCTTGTTTTGCAGATTATATGAAAGAATCTGTGTGCAGCTCCAGCACTTGTTCTCTGAACAGCAGTGAAAACCCATACGCCACCATTAAAGACCCCCCCATTTTAACATGCAAACACTCCGAAAGCAGCTACGTGGAAATGAAATCACCTGGTCACAGGGAGTCCCCATATTCAGAAATGCCAACTTCATCGACAGCCAATAAGAACATCTATGAAGTTGGTAAGTGGGGTGGGCGGCAGAAGGGCTGTTCCAACTGTTGGTGTTTTTATTGTAGGTGCTGATTATTTTTTTTTTCCCCTTTCCCAACACAAGTAGCACACGGGCTTGTCAATACTGCCAGATTTGGAAAGCGCTGCTCTTTTGAAGACATTATCTGCAGGGCTACCTGCCCTCGGATCTCTTTGGTGGTTTTCTCCCTGCTCTGCCCCACACTCTGCCCGTAAAGCTGCGAGGGGAAGAGATGGTTTGGGAAGCTGATGTTCTGTGCTTGTGACAAAATACAACTAGTTTTGGGAGTGCTGCTAGTTACCGTAACCCAGTTTTCTTTGCTTCTCCAGAGCCCACCGTCAGCGTGGTCCAAGACACCCGTGGTCGGAGTGCCAGTTACCTCCAAAATCCATACGACCTGCCTAGGAACAGTCACATTCCTAGTCACTACGACCTCCTCCCTGTAAGGCACAGCCCAACGCACGGGCCATCTTGGGACAAGCAGTCTTAAAGGGATGAACTTCCCTGGTGCACTGTGCTGCAAACACAAACTTTGAGGAAGCAAAAGAGAAGACAATCCTTTTCTGCGCTGCAGGATGTTGACGGGACTTCAGACTGTCTTACGCAAGGACCTAACATAACACAACATCAGCTTGGGCCAACTGCTGCTGCATGATGTTATTTATAAAACATTTTTATATGGGTAACAGGAACTAACGAGAACCTCCTCCACGTGTGACTGGAGTACATCACCCCAGGAAGGCGTCTACATGCTCCAGGCAAAACTCTCCGTGATGTGTATTCTAACCCTGGCTTTGCTGTAAAATAAAACACAAAAACATGCTAAGTAGAAGGACTTATAGATGTACATTTCTACCAACTGAATCAAGAAACCTTTTACTCTTAGGAACAAGGTGACTAGGAATACGCTGGAATGTATTTTACATCTTTGTCATGGAAATGGACATTTTTCTGAACGAAAGCAGGGAAACTTGTCGTTTCACTGTCTGGAAACCTCATTCACTGCTGCCCTCACCATGTGCAACCTGTGCAGATCGTGCTTGGCAATTAGCACTGAGATGTTCATCTTTATATTCAGCACCAGAGTATTTGAGTTGAGGAATATTAACACAGACACATTCTGTGCAGTTTTTAGAAGGTATTATCTTGGCAAACATCCACTCATCTTTGCTAAGGACTTGAGTTTCAACAATGAGTCTCACACCCAGCTTACCACACTTTTAACAAGCTATAAAGAACTTTGTTTGGCACAGATAGGCTTTAATTTTCCTTATACAGCTTCTATTTTGTTAGATAAAAGCACTGGATTTGTCAAGCAGTGTAAACTGATGCAGCTTCATTTACTTCCCTGGGACACTGCAGGTTCACACAGACTAACCCTGGTTTGGTTTCCTTTCCTCAAGCTGACACGTCGGCTTCTCTTGACCATCTTTACAAACCATCCCATCATGATTCACTTAACAGCATGCCATTTATGACACCCTTTAATTTGATGTGCATTACCATGTAGTGCAACTTTATCCATTGATGATTCTACCTGAAATGTCATTAAATTGAGCTGAAACTGGGTTTTCTTTTTCAGCAGCTGTTTGTGAAGTAATTATCAAGGGATTGGCCCACGGTAAAGTTTTGGACTAAGCCACCATGATTTTTTTTTTTTTGGTAGTCTTTATTGACCTAGAAAGTAGAATACTTGCCGTTAAGCAGTTCCTTGTAGATTTTGAGCATGAAATAGTATTGATTCTAAGTATGTAATTTTATTAGGCAAACGTGGAAGTAGCAAGTTGATTGCCTCTTAAATATAAAAAAAAAAAACCCAAACCTTTCTGTTGCACATTTGCCATTCTGATGGAAGTAGAAGAGAACAAAACCAGCACCAATCAGTCACTCAAAGTACGATTGCTCGCCTAACCTGCTGGTCTAGGGGACTGGTAAGAGGAGCCTTCCACCTTGGAGGCAGCGGCTTGATCCCGGCTCCGGAGCATTCGGGGCAAGTGGTGGGGCCCAGCCCTCACCCCGGGGAGTCAGCCCCTGGCACGGCGGAGCCGGAGCCGTGGCAGCCCGGCAGCAGCAGGCCCATGTCGGGGCATGGGGAGCCCCAGGGAGGCGCTGCTGGAGGAGCTGGGAGCCTGGTGGGTGGGCAGGCGGCTCCGAAACTCTGCGCAAAGTTAGACGGGCGAGGGGAGCCCAGGGGGCCCCCAGGCTTCCAGAGCAGCAGATCTTCACGTTGCAGGATAATGCATCAGTAGTTACACGAATGCTGCATGTGTGCATGGGGGCAATGACTGATCAGCAATAGGAATTTTATTTTCCAGGAAAGCCTTATTTGAGATGTAAGTAGACAATTATTTTGTAGGGCCAGTAGGAATATATTTTATGTATGTGAATAGAAAGACTTACCTCAAAAATATGAAAAGAAAGGCAGCTCGATAAGGCACACTCTTGTTAGAGACCCACCTTGACACCTAGCACAAGCAGTCTCAGCTGCCACCCTGACCGATATTTGTGTGAGTTGCTCTAAAGTTTGCGATGAGACTCCAGAGAGCAGAGATGTGTTCAGTTTTTGGTTGTTTTTTTTCAAAGCTGGACTTTCAAACCAAATGCAATGGATGCAAAGAGCTTAACAGGAAAAACAAACCAACATAAAAAACAAACAAACAAAAAGTACCTTCTTGTATATTAGCATTACCGTAGAAAATAGGCACCAAAATGGCAATACTTTTCTAAGGCAAGACAGATTTGTAATATATTTGTTCACTGTGCAAAGGTATTCTACCTTGTACAAAATAAATTGAATTTCTCTCAGTGTGTATTTCTCAAACTACTCATTCAAAGACTAACACTTCCAGCCCATGTTCAGGTCCGAGTTCGCCGGGTGATGGGGCTGGCCACAAAGGGGTTGTCCCCATCCAACATAAAAACCCCACAGGCGCCAGGTTTACGAGCCAGAAGTTGCAGGATTTCTCAGAAAACACAATGCTGTAATGCAGACTGTAACATGGAGTTCAGTTCGAGTAAGGCCTCGCTTTAAGCCAAAACCTAACTGGCTCTGTGTGCACCTTTATCACAGCTCCTCAGCAGTTTAACCTCAGCGGGTCTGAGCGAGCCCTCCCGTGATGCAGAGAGGCCCCTGGACGAGCTCCGGCACTCCTACAGCGAGCAGCGGGGAGAAGCGCCGACGCCAGGGTCTCCCTGGTTTGCCAGGGGTGCCGTGGCAGCGCTCCATGCCAGGAGCAGCCCTGGAGGAGCCAGGCCAGCGCCGCTGCCCTCCCGCAGCCAGCAGTGAGAGACGGGACACTCAGCAACCGCCTCGGCGGGTCTGACAGCGCTCCCGGGAGCCTCATCAATAAATCGCCAGCACAGATTGGCAGCAGAAACACCTTCAGAATTAACGACCCCCAGACAATGCAGTGGACCGCTACAGGCTGAAGCTCCTTCAATATTTGCGCTTCGTATTTCTAAAAATCTTGTTAACTAAAGCCCAGCATGTAATCTTCTTATTTGACAAGCCACGCTCAATAAGCTATTTAAGGCTGGAAATTCATCAGGTTTGAACTGATGGAATAAGTAATTCTAGCTTAATAAAAATGTCTTTAAATCAGAACAATCCCCTGTCCTTTCTGCTTAAGAGTCAGAACCTCAACTCCCATCAAACAAGAACCACTCATGCTCACTGAACAGCTTCCTAGTTGGTAAGGTTGGGACTTTGAAATATGTAAATGACAGCAAAAGCTTTTGGCAAGTAAAGCCAATCTTGCAGTATTATACGGAGTTCCCAGAAACTCAGAGAGCTCATTTCAGGGCCCCAGAGCAGCCTCTGTTATAATCAGTTGTCTCCTGTTAGCAGAGAAAAGACACTTCAGGACAGAAGTAATGCCAATTACAGACAAAGAATGATTAATCAGCAGCTGAACAGGAACAATACCCTGTTGGGTCAGTGTTCAGATGGAACAGTGTTTTGCATTGTCTCTCTCAAAGCACTTTGTGAAGTACCTTCTTGTCCCAGGAGTGTCACCCAGCCCGATCTGCTGGCCAAGCACCACCGGGCTTAGTCAGGAACAAGCAGCACAAAACCACAAACCCCAGGCAAAGGCTTTAACAGGTCAGAAATTACCTCTCCGTACACCCACCATTTGATTTTGCTTTGGAAGGTGATTACTTAGGAAGGCTTTGCCAACTCTTGCATGAAAATTTGATGTTCCACATTAGAGCAGTTCCTAAGTACAAAATCAGGTTTTGCATGGCCTTTCTAAGGCCTGTTTATGGTTAAAGTTCTAGTGGGGGAAAAAAAAAAAAAAAGTTGGTTCTTTTTGTAACAGCACCTGCAGCCATTTCACAGCTGCCCAGGACCCAAACACAGCACCATTTGCTGCCAGGTGAAGGAAGAAGCACATGCACACACACACAAACTCTGCATGGCATGGGGACGGCCCTGGCCTCTGACAGCGATTTATTTGCGCTCCCACAGGCTTCGCTGCAGCCACGTTTGCTGCAGAAGGAAACGTCTTGTGTAAAACCATGTGAAATCCAAACCTGATGCAACAGCTGAATGGAGCTGCCTGCTTACGAGAGGCAGAAAAGGAAGCAAAGTGAAATTCATCCTGCATTTCCAGCTGACAAATTTAGAACTTGGCTGCCCCAGTAATTTGCTTAATTCCAAATATACTCCAGTCTGGCCAGAGAAAGTGCCATGAGAGCAGCTCCCAGAGCAAGGGCCCAGACTTACACTTCATCCCCACTCTCCTTCAGCCCTAAAAGGCCCTAAAAGGCCCTAAATTGCCTTTGTCTCCAGAGCCACCAATGCTGCCCCCACTGTGCTCTGTCCCAAGCCTGCCAGGGACACAGCCCAGGATACCAAAGGGATCAAAAAGCTGAAATCATTTGCTGTAGAAGGCAGTAGTTCGATGTCCCACCAGATACTCTTACTGTGGCTATGTGGGGGGAAAAAAAAACAAAAACAAACCAAACAAGAAACAGGTTTGTAAAAGCTATTCAGAGCTTTGACTAGAGTGAACCCACAGACTTTTCAGAGCATAAAAGCTTCCTGAAGCTGCCAAACAGTCATTGGTCATGACCTGCAGCAGCCCCAGAAAGCTGCAGGTTGCTCTGAGTGAAGGCAGCAACTGTGTTACACGACCCTTTCAGTTCCTTCTCTGGGGGTACTTCCACTTCAGCTTCTTCTCACTGCCTGTTCCAAGAAGCTTTCTAGCTACCAGTTAAGTAAAAATATGCAGCTCAAACCCCATTCCCCCAGAAAGTGCACCCAACACCATACTGAGTCGTCCCCTGTAATTCTTTATTAGAATCATGGATGAATATATTTTAAATCAATCTAAAAAAATAATGAATCAAGGTACAGTACATGCATAAAATACAAAGTAATTTACAAACAGATCAAAATAGCATCTTCAGAACTAATACTAGGAGGAGAAATGGATTAAAAAGAACAAATGACCAACTACAGCAATGCCTTCCGTGTGCCTTACACATCATGAGCACCGCAAGACAGAAAGGTTGAGTACGAAACGCAGCTGGTAGCGCCTGCCCAGATCTGGATGTTCCAAGCGGGTCATATCAGAGTTTGAGAAACATTCCCTGCAATCAATTCCTTCCCTATAATTGTATAAAGAATTGCAGGCATTTATACAATGAACAGTTCTTTTAAACACCGTGGAAATTCAGTGCATATAGCCTCCAAATCTCAGCATTAATGAGGTGTTGGGAACAGCACAGACGGGGTGAGATGCAGCGAGTGCAGTGACAGAAGGCACGTTCACGTATCCCTGAACAAGCGAATCAAACAGATGATTTGTACAGAGCAACAGGCCACTGAAGGAAGGCATCCAGCAAGAAAACTACTCCAGATGTTCTTGTTAAAGAACATACACCAAACTACTGGAATAATTTAAAAATACTGGATGAAACGGAACTGCAAACTAAGACCAGGTTGTGAAAGTTATTGATTCATCAACTCAAGCATTTGAATATATTAATATACGTGGCATGGATTAATAAATGTGATATATAATACGTGACAACACCCTTCAAGTCTGTGTACTGTGAAAGAAAACAGGCATCCTCAAATCCTGATACCACCCGCACTGCAGAGGCCAAGTCTCGGGCAGCACAAAACCATGCTGCAGGTTCCAGTGTCAGAGTGACCCGTCACCAGTTACGCAGCTTGTGCGTTTGCTTTCTTCATAAGAGGGCCCACCAGCATCCTCCCAGCCGCTCTGCCTCACCTCACAACCTCCTCTGCAGCAGGTGCCAAACCACAAAAGCGCATTCACAGGTAGCAAGAACCCTGCTGCTTGTTTGCAAGAAATTCTCTTTTCTCCCCCATAATATTCTATTAAAAAATCCTTAACTTGACAATCTGAAGATGTAGCCAAAAACATTTAACTTACATTAAAATTGCACTTCAGAGCAACGGGCATTTCATCAAGCTTTAGATGCAGTATACACCACCTTAAGACAAGGAAAGATTATCCTGCCCAGAGATATTTTCCTAGTTAACCTGACAGTAATTGTTTTGCAAGGAGCAGAATAACATCTTCAATTGCTCACTGAAGGCATCTGTGCTCTGACTAGCGGGCATCCTGTTGGAAAAAGATCAGCTCAGATCCAAATAATTTGCTGAACCCAAACCGACAAGTTGGTGTTGGGAAAATACTGCAGCCACATAGAAGCAATAGATTTATAAACACTGAAATCAAAGTGGTTAAGACATGGAGAAATTCAGAAGGAATAAGCAGTAACTAAACACAAGAAAGTAACCACGAGAATTACAAATATATTTAAATCTTGGACCTGGGGAATATACACAGCCTTTTAGGAAAGAGTGAACAATTCTATATATTCTGACAGCACTGCATCTTTGGTTTGTTTTCAGTGGTTGGAGGGACATGAATGGGAACCACGTTGTTGCTTGGAGACATATCGTTTTCACGTCTGTCGGACATTTGCTTCTGGGAAACAATACGATAGATCTCTGGAAGGTGAGAAAGAGCTAGTCATTACGTGTACACCAGCAAAACATGATTAGGAAGTTAAACCTGGAGAAAACTAGGCATAGATATACAAAGATCTCCCATAGTCTTGGAAATATATAGGTAATGCATGGAAGCTTTCACAAGAAGTTCAGCTGTGAGGCTTTCTGTATTCAGAAAAACATTTTTGAGGAAGAAATTAGTTCAACCACTGTTTTACTTCCTTTGAGATAAGAGTTATAAATGGACAGAATTCACAATATTTTTTTTGCTAGGAATCAGAAACTATGTGTCACATCGATTCCTTCTGATGGTTCTTCAGGCTCTGAGGACAGTGGTCGCATGTTTACTGATGTATCCACAGACAACAGCAGGATTAAAAAGAACCACTCAAAACATCTCTCCCTGATAGGACTGTGAGGGCAGTTTCTTCTCTCTCAGCATGCCTATCACGTACAATACCTTGCCTACTGTCCAAGTAGTTTTAAATCTTCAGAAAAGGTTGACTGGGGCCCAAAAGGGAAGACTCAGCCCCTTAAGCAGCACACAAATCCCTTTACAAAAATTTCTGTTAGTGTAAGTAAGCTTCAAAATTATGGAGAAGAAATGTGGACTTCAGATGAAGAAATCCCAGCATAAATCAGAGAGCACTGGGTTAAACTCCTCCTGTGCCTTCCCCAGCACGCTGCCAGGAGGGGAATGCTCCACACCTGCACCAGGAGACTTCCCAGCTTCCTGGGATTTGTTACTGGCCGATGGCACATGCTGTACAAACTCACAGTAGCTACAAAAGCACTTCAGCTGCACAGAGTATGGCACTTGTAGCACTTCAACCCCCCTAAAGGAAATAAAGGATACCAAAAATAGAACATGGGGAACTCACTTGCAAATTTGAGTTTTAAAAACCATTGAAGATTTGGGGGGAGGGGGGTTTGAGTAAGATTGCTAAAGTTTAACAAAAATAGTTTGAAAGTGTTTCAGATTCAGCAAAAAGCCGACTGAAACATCATCGCATCATCTACTTTGCACGATGGAAAAGCCTGCTGGCAACAAATACCCCAGCACTGCCAAGCAGCAGAGCCCAGAGAGAAAGGAGGGGATGCTCACAGTTGATTTGCATGCTCTGCCCTGAGGTTTCAGCTAAGCCCAGGCTGAAGGAGGGTGTTTGCACCTCGCTCCTCCCGCAGAGCAGAGCAGGGAAGAACACAGCTCACAAACTGTGGCCAAAGAAATCAAAGGCCCAAGTTCTTCTGGAGGGCTGAAGTCTCTTATCAGCTGGATAATGACTGTCCAAACACACACCCCGCCTGACCCCGAACCAAGACACATCTCTTCTACCAGAAATTCATCATTAGTGAGTAGCTTTTGTTCAGAATTTTAACGAGCTGCTGCTTAGTGCACATTCTGACATCATTTCAGTGCTGTAAATTAAGTAGCCTTGTGCAGAGAGGTTCCCCTCCACTGCCAAGGGCTGATCACGCAGCTCCATGCCTGCTTTTACGACAATGGGAAGAGAGGGCATGGAGGAGCTACAAGGGGTCCCTGACAAATGAGGCTTGAAAACCTTGATGCAACAAGTCTGCACTGATTTAAGTTGCCAACACAAACAGAGGGCAAGTGTTCCCCAGGAAGAGGAAGAACAGAGCTGCACGCATCCGTGGGACTGCTGGCAAAATAAAAATCTCTCACGTAAATACTGTGCTGTGTCTACAGACTGCGCAAGGAACATTAACCTTTGCAAGTGGTGCTTTGAAAGAATCTGCCTCCAAATGGATAGCTCAGACAGGGAGAAACTGCTCAGAAAAATGGATTTTACATACACATTCAGTTACAGATCAAGTCACCAAGGCAACCAAACAAGCTGCAGACACAAAAGGATTTTCTGATTTCACCCCTTCTTGAGTTCACTCTTCAGTCTTACATATAAACAACTTCACTTTGTGAAGTGAATCCCACAAAATCAGATCTCTAAAGCCACCTGCAACCCCATGTGGGAATTTACAGATAAAGATCAGCTTCGCTGTGCAGCAGGCACTCTGCAATGATCAGGCAATGCTCAGCAGAGTGCCTGTGTGTGCAGGTGGGGGAGCACGGCTGGAAGAGATCTGCTCTGTGTTCCTCAGGACATGTTCTGCTCCACTACCCTGCCCCAGCTCAGGGTGGACAGCCAGTTTATCTTCAAGAGCAGAAGGCTGCCCATTCCCATTCAGCAGAAGACTCTTGCCATCTCTGAAACTCTCCAGTATCACCTTCCACAGCAGCAATTCTGTTTACCAGAGAACTTCCTGAAGAAGTTCATACAAGTCACCAACATGAGCTGTCACACAGTTCCTCCACCCCTGTAAGCAAGGACTCACAGCAGGGTGCCCTCTGTATAACATCTTACAGCAAAGATCCTCACTTAACAGCCCTGAAGCCTTAAAGACAATCTTAAGGAGCATTGACTTCTCTGCTGATAAAGGGTCTATCCCTTCTGACTCTGGGAACATACTTCCACAGCCTCCCCAGCAGTCCTGCAACGACATTTAGCAGCTGTGCTGCTTGAATCAACTTGCCACAGCCCCAAGTTTGTGGCTCGCTGTTGCTTCTCCCTCCTCTGCAATGCAAACCTTTATGCAGCCACAGCGTCCTGCCCCAGCTGAAAGCTGAAATGGGTAAAACCTGCCTTTTGCAGGATCAGCTGCAAACTCTCTCACCACACGCAGCTGTGCTGGCGTGAAAGGGGAGGTGGGAACAGCTTAAACCTGCTCTCGCTAGGGCAAAATGCCCAGCAGCAAAGCCTACACTGAAACTGGTCGGCACAGAGAAATACCAGGCTAATGAAGACACGTGCTTTTTAATGAAGACACTACACTCTGCGCTCTGCTTAGTAACTGAATGAGACCTTATTAAGAGCACATTCCGCAGAATGCATCCTTGCATAATCAGTAACTGTGCGAGACAGGCCTTGTGCAGTCAGAGGGCTGGGAAAAAGTGACACTGCTGCCTAGGAGGAGCTTGTCCAGTCCTTGGCTGCTCAGTCTGCGCTAGCATTTCATTCATTTTCAGGTGTACAGAGCTAACAAAAGAGGAAATCCCTAGATTTTTTTGACGTTAATGCTCTGTGATGTTGTTTCCTTGGAGATAGGATTCCTTAAGAGATGAAACAGCAGCGCAGTACAAAAACAGAGACAGCACAGAGCCAGGCAGGGAATGGAGGCAGACTCTGGTTTACTTTAAGGATGCTTTATCCTGCTGTGAATGCTCACAGTGGCTAGGATTATAATACCAGTCTCTCCTACTTGCCAGATGATACAAAGCAGCTTTGTGTGCACAACAATCAGCCCTTGAAGTCTTAGACATCTTGCCAGGGAAGAATTTGGACAGGGACCATTACTTTAAGCCACAGAAGGAAAAGGTCCCCAAAACCTCATCTGGAATCCACAGCAGAACAGGAAGCCCATTACATGTAAGATAAAAAAAACCCTCTAAAAGTCCTCTGTAATACAGAGAGGAAAAAAAAAAGCTTTCTCCCCTTTCTTCCACCTGTAACAACATCAGATCATACAGTCACTTAGGCTGTACTATAATGGATTCATATTTCCCATGACCAAAGCCATCTATTCAAAGTGGCTTAATCTGAGAATTGAGGTGTGGATGAGCCTAACACAGACCCTGCTTCACTTCAAGGGAAGTACTCTTCAAGTTTCCAGCACGGGCCCAGCCAGAGCAGCTTCACTGGGGCTGGAGAAGAAAGGAATCTTGCTACAGACTTTAGTCATGACACCCTGTTCAGGAGAGCTCCAAGCAGCTGTCTGAAAGGCGTCGGGAGCAGCTGAGATGTCTCCGCAGGGCAGCTCCCAGCACTGCAGATCCCAGCAGAGCTAGAGCAGCAGCACCCTGCCCTTTCTGTCAGCCACCTCCGCTCACAGCCTGTGGCAAAGCCTCTTGGCTTTACCAGCTTCAAAGGACAGCAAGCATTCCACCCACAGGCACTGTGCTTGGAGGCAGCCTTGCCAAATAGACTATCCATGATTCTGCAGGGTCACTCTGAAAACCACATTCCTCAGATGACTGCTCCCTTCTTTCCTTCAAAGCAAATCATTAACAGAAAAAGCCAGCTGTGAAGTGTTATCAAGAAGTTTATTGGCAGAACATTCGTCCTTAGCATGCCAGTCACAGCCAAGATGGAGCCAACCTGCTGCTAATGCATTATTTACTTCATCTTTATCTCCCTGAAACAGGAGCTCCTGTCTGGAGCGAGCCACATGCCCACTAATCAGCAGAAGTGTTCCTTCCACCACAGCTGAACCAACCCCGCCTGAATGAGGATCCTGTCCGCATATCGAAGAGCTCTTTACCCAAAATACTGTCACAGCAGCATGCAGGGAACATTGATGTTTGTGGAAAAGCAACAGCCTCAACAATCTGCCAGAGTCCACTGAAGGCAAGTTTTAATCACTTGTTCTCCCATTACAGACTGCTCTACCTTACAGAAAAATTAAAGCAAAGGAAAAAAAAAATAAATCACCAAACCTCCACAAATCAGAATCCAAAATAACTCCTGGAATAAAAGGTACTGTTGGAAGCATGCGAAGAGAGATAAAGAAACAGCCGAGCCTGTGCCCAAGAGGTGAACTGCTTCCCCATGGCAACAGCAGCATATCGTCTGAGCTCACAGCTCTGTGGAAGTAAGGCAGCAGCCCAAGGCATGCAGGAAACTTTCCACCCCTTCAGCCCATCACGTTCTGAGTACAGAACGGTCCAACAGGAGACAGGGAAACTCAGGTGACCAGTTTATATGGGCTATGACAGCCCAACAGCCACTTCGGGAGGGGATAAACAACATCTGATATATTTCCAGTTCTGTTTTATTAGTGCTGGTGCTGAACGAGTATAAAAGTTAATTAACTAACCTTCATCCAAGACTCCCAATTCCCTCTGAAAACTGACAGAGCAAGCAACAAGGCTTTGTTCTACTTTCACACAGAAGGTTTGGCCAGAATCTGACCTCAAAATTCAGTCTAGGTGCTCTCAAGAAGAGAGGGGCTACCAAGGACACATGCATAAAGGAAGAAGTGTCAGGTTTTAGCTGTTACAAGTAAACAATAAAAATGTTTTTCTCCTGAAGAAATCCATGCCTAAGTTCATGAGTATTTTTGACAGGACTGCCTTTAGGTAGGTGAATAAAACAGGAAAGCCAGCAGGCATCCCAGATACCATCACATTCAGCCACTCCTTAGCCATCCACCCTCTGATGGTATTAGTAGTTAGTCACATACGGAGTAATGTATAAACTAATATAACTTCTTTGATTTGTGCAATGTTGAATTACAACCAAATGACTACACTGAACTTAAAAGGGAACAACATGGTTCAGCTAAAGAGGAAACAAGCTCAAGCTCTGGATCCAGCACTGTATGAAGCAGTGAGATGACAAGCATCCCTATGCGCTGTTAACTCATCTAACATGGACAACTTTTTTGCTAACATATGGAGAAGAGCACTATTGCTTAGGAACCTACTGTAAAAAACACAATAGAACCAGAACCTATCAAGGTCTCGTACAACTAAGGATAAGAAACAGATAGACACAGGCAGGTAATACTCCAGCAGCTTAACAACTCTCCACTGCGAGGGTGTCCATGAAGCATTTTAAACAACTCAAGAAATGCTACAGAATTTATACTTTTATTACAGTATATAACTTCCTAGCTGCCTCCTCATCTGCATGTTTCAGTATTGCTAACAAGTCCTTTTTGGTGTCTTATTAAAAGAGTGTCTACATGAGCTGACAAAGGGAAAAAAATTTCAAAACTAACTAGATGCCAATGTCACAGCAATGAGATCTGATTAACAGAGACACACAGTTTAGAAGTGGGGCTGCTGCTCATACCAAGCACATCACGTAGCCTGGCACATGCTACACTGGAAAGAGGGAGTTTAAATTTGCAACTGGGAAACATATTGGAGGCACTAAGAGAAAACAGAGAGACTGCCTGGCACACCTAGAACAGAGTCATACCAAACCAGAGGAGCATCTCAGATGTTTTGAAGACCCAGACTAGACATTTAGAGAGACATCTGTCAAAGCTTAGAGTGACAAAAGCTCAAAAACCACACAAGCCACTGTTGTCCCACTGTGCCCTGGCTACAGCTGACTGGGTACACAGCAGTAGAAGTCCCATGACAGTGATTTCCACACTAATTTGTGAATTCCTACCCTATCCTTTATAAGCTATGGTTAAGTTAAGGTCCCCCACGTAGTTGTAGTTGAACGTCTCAGAGTCTTAACAAGTTTTGCCTATCTAAAAAAGGATTTGAAGAAAAAGGAAGTACTTTATAAAGCATAAAAAAACCGCAGCACTCCCTGCCATCACATGTTACAGAGGCCAAAAGTCCAGCCAGACTATGAAATGCAATGACAGTGACTACCCTGCTGCTCATGAGTCACTGCGTCTCAGACTACCAGTAGCAGTATTGTTCAAAGGAAGGATCTCAACTCTTTCATCCCTTTTCCCTTGGCAACTGCTATGGTCATCATTAAAAATGGAAACAAACTAGACTGACTTCTCCCCAGATAAACCACGGCTGTTTTAACTTAATGCTTGCATGAGACAATTCTCTGTTGTGGGCACTCCCTATACCATACACAAACTGGAAACTGAAACACTAACTAGGCTAACTAGAAGAAACCTGGGGCAGATCAAAGTGAAAAAGGATTCATTCCTGAGTTCAAGGCTGGCCTTTCAACTATGACACTTCGAAACTGGACTCCAAATCTTATGGCTCTGAAGAATGATTAAATAACAAAATGTTATATAGGCAAAGAAATGCTTAGTTGTCATATATCTGAGCAGCCTTCTGCCCCTCCCCCTTGAAACACAAAGCACTAGATGACTCACCTGTCAGAATAGTCTGGAAAGCTGCTTCCACATTTGTAGAGTCTAAAGCAGACGTCTCAATAAATGACAAACCATTCTTCTCTGTGTGGACAGAAATACTATAATTAGAGAGGTACATCACATATCTCTTTCCCATCCAGAAGAACTTCTGTACCAGATATTTGTATTTTTCCTAATGAGACACTCTGGTATCAAGAAAAAGTGTAAGAAGTTGTGGGTTCTCCCCCCCTTACATGATCTGAAAGCAACACCACTCAACACCAATGTTAGGATTTACACTTATCCCCAAGCACAGGGAGCAGTCCAGTGCTGTGTTACTCTGAGGCACATCTTTCCACATCACTGAAAGTGAGAATTTGTTGCACTTTCAACAATTGTGCGAGGAAGCTTCCTGGATTTTCTTTAACATCATCAAGTTTGTCAACCTCCCACCTGCTAGTATGTCATGGCAGCTTATTTAATAGGGCTAGCCCAGCTGGAGGAATGACAGTCCTCAGCCTGCAGAGAGGGATCCTCACTGGCCACAAGCCCTGCAAATGCAGCTACAGGAAGCCTTAAAGCAAGAAACCCAGCTACACTCCCAGATTAAATAAATTTGGCCTAAAACAAGGCAAGATTTACAGAAACTAGAATTATTTTTCGCAGATCTTAATTATGTAATGAGTCAGAAAGCTGGTTTAATGAAAGTCTGTTCAGCCACAGGCAGTCTTGTAGGGCTCCAGATCACTTGGTACAAAGAAGGCAATATACAGGTGCAGAGCTACCAACCATACAAGAAACTCAAATCTGAAGCCATAGGCACAGCATTGTGAGAGAAGCAATGCACAGGCAAGAGAAAAAACCTGGTTAAAAATCTTCAAGTGCCTCTGGCTGATTCTTGAAACCACATCAGCATGCCTGTTCTACAAGGCTTCCTTTCTGACTGAATCAAAAAACAGCAAACACCACTACGTGACACTGAGAAACATCACCAGCAGCACTCCTTTTTTTCCCTACCAGCAGACTACTCCTGTATCTAAGACCACATAGGCAGATTCCCCACACAGTTAGCATTAGGAAATTATTTTGAGTTCACCAACCTGCAAAAGCTCTGGCCTCATCTGTAGGGACTGCTCTCAGGTGGCGCAAGTCACTCTTGTTTCCCACAAGCATGATTACAATATTGCTGTCAGCATGGTCTCTCAGCTCTTTCAACCATCGCTCTACATTCTCGTAAGTAAGGTGCTTAGCAATGTCATACACCAATAATGCCCCTACAGCTCCGCGATAGTACCTGTGGGTGAAGAGACATGTTAGAGAACCAGAAAGAAACAACTTGATTAGAAGTGATAGGTTACTATGCAATAATGGGAAATAGTAATTACTAAGACAGCTATTCAAAAAAACACCCAGAAGCAGGCTATGTGGGACATGAAACAGTGAAGACCAGGGTTATATCCCAGGATCACCAGAGCAGCTGGGACAGCTCAGAGTCTGGGGGGTAAACCAAACCCCACGTTTGTAGGGAGAACCCTGTATCCCAAAAATGAAGCCCTTGAATCCATGGGGAGCTACTGTCACCTTCAACCTCTGATCCACTCCTGAAAGTCCTCCTCCACTCATCACCATGGGTGCAGTACGGGCACAGCCCAGTGATATAGACACTTTAGAATGACTCACTGTGTTGTAAAAATGTCAACCTGATCAACTCTTCACAAAAGGCCACAGCTGGTCTCCTTTCAGATCAGAGACACACAGAGTAATGCATTCAAAAAGAAACATGCTGTGTTCTCCCACCCCACAATCACCTCCAGCTTTACTGAAATCCAGCTGCTTTTGCTATGGTTGGTTTTTTTCAATTAAATAAGCATGCAAAGTGAGCAGCCTTTCCTTGCTGCTACAGGAGGGTTTCTGGTCTTAGGTTACCACTGATAAAACCTCCAGGAACACTGATATTACTTTATCAATCGCTTGGATTGAAATGAGTCTCTCAAAGCTCTTGCATTCTAGGCTTGAAATGCCTCCAGCTATATATCATGAGAGCACTGAGAAGTAAATCAGTATGTGCAGGGACACACTATATCAAGTTTCAGGGCTGAATAATATTTAAGCTTCCTTCCACCATAGGTTGTAGATATTACACGATAAAATACAGACACCCCATGTTCACAGTTTCTGAGGAATTGGAAGGGCCCAGAATTAACCTCCTCAGCAAAAGCTTCTCTTCAGCCACAGAAGCTATCACTTACGCTGATGTTATAGCTCGGTATCGCTCCTGCCCTGCTGTGTCCCATATCTGAGCCTTTATTGTCTTCCCATCAACTTGAATGCTTCTTGTTGCAAACTCTACTCCAATGGTGCTTTTGCTTTCCAAGTTAAACTCATTGCGAGTGAAACGAGACAGGAGGTTACTCTTGCCTACTCCAGAGTCTCCAATAAGTACAACTGCAAGACAAAAATGATATGAGAATCAGATTCCAGATATAGATAATACACTGACATTCAGCTGCAGTAAACATTTGTTTTCTGGAATGGTGCATGAAGAAGAATGGCAAAACCACCACTCTCATCACGGGTCTAATGTCCAAGTCTTGATATTTCTAGAGAACTAGAGCTGCCGCATTCACCAGCAGTTCGAACAGTCTTTGGAATCAACTTTTACTTGTTATATTTCAGTCTCCTTTGCCCAACCCAGAAAAACATTCCTCCTCCAGGAAGAATATACATGGCTGTCACCGCAAAAGTTGGGGACCATTTGGATTTCACATCTTTGTAACAACACTATAACTAAAAACCAAAACGAAAAACCCCATACCACTCAACTGAAACCCGTTTTGCTGAAGAAGTCCAAAACACAGGGCAAGCAGCAGACTCTGCCTTCATTTTATACTCTTCGTACCTTTGCAGAAGAGAGGTTCCCCACTGCAGCAGAAAAATTTGTCAATGGAAAAAAAGAACCAAACACCAAAAACCACAAGACCACCAACACCCCGATAGGCAGTTTAGCTGAGCCACAGCTTCCACAGTCCCTCACTGCTGCTGTGACTTCTGACCACTCTACGCCAGAGCTTGAAACTGCTCTAAAATGCTGCTGGGATATCGCTGGGCCTCAGAATTAGAACCACCATCCACTCCCTCTTCACTGGCTCAGCCTGACTCATCACAGCACCAGTGCCAAGCAAACTAATTGGAAGGGTTTGGCTACGCTTGACAAGAGATTGTTAAGGGGTTTAAAGTCCAGTTCCTACAAAGCATCACGAGGATTCACTGCAATATCCTGTAATGCTGAATTAAAAGGTGCAAGTTTAAGCGTAACTAAAAACTCACTGCCAAGATGCAGGCCACTGGATGAAACACATTCACAGCCCTGAGTTCACACCAACTGGAGCCTCCCAGTACGATCTTATGCCCTTAACGAAGATACCAAACTGGTAACAGAATGAAACAAAAGAAAAAAGAGGACAAGTAAGATCCTTGAGAAGGAAGGCTGATCACTTCTAAGTTCAGCAATGAATCGAGCCCAGTCCAAGCAAAAGAGCACATGCTCAGCTGACAAAAAACCCCATCACTGTGGCTATGCTTGTTTAAAAAAACCAAAAACAAAACCAACATAAATACTTGCTCACTAACAGACATCATTTAAGACACTGCAACACACTGTTGAATATTCTCTGTGGTACAAGAAAGGAATGAGTGCACCAAACACACTTCAATCACGTGAGAAACCCCCCCCACTGAGTCTTAGTCTAGCAGTGCAAATACTCCCATCTGCTGCTGCACCACACAGCAGCCCTCTGAACACCACCTTCTATTTAAATAATGCAAAACAATTCTGGAAAATGAGATTTTCTCTGACTGCAAGGGCAGAGCAGCACCTTTTAAACACCCTCCATAAAATGAAAATTGCAGCAAATGCTAGCTTCAAACATGGCCTTGTGGAGAGCACTTCATCAAAATAAACATCTTTCCAGCTTCCTCTGCCAGCTGACGCAGCACACAACCAGCCGAGCTACCCAAGTTGCATAAAGCAGTGGCTCTGTTAACCACTTCTGTTTATGAAGATCACAAGTGCAGGTAGGTGACAAGCATATACACTAATGCAAATAGGATTCTGCTTTCCTGCATGACAGGTCAGCACTGTTCAGTGTCGGATGCCCTGACACAGCTGAACAGCTCTGCTGGCACGGAAGACGCTGAACCATTAATAAACTTTGTGCAGGGGACAGGGCACCTAATTGCACCATCACCAGCCTGCAAACTGCCATAGCTTTCCTCTTTCATTAGCAAGTTCTTCAATACTATTTTGGCAGGTTTAGGCCACAGTTTTATATGACATCATATTTGTCTTCACTGGGACGTTACAAACAAGTGCCTAGGAGGCAAAAGCTCTCAGCTCCCTTCACCTACCTCAGTCCTGCCATCACCCAGCATTAGCTTTGGCAGCAGCTAATGACATTTCTACACAAGAAAGACAGCCTACAGATTTCTAACAGATTTACTTTTCCCAACAGGATGCATCATATACCTGTTCAGTATTCCCCCAAAACTTACTTTTGTTGTTCAGTGTGTATTTCAAAGCACAGCTTTAAGTCATTTAACAATAGACAGATCACTAATTCCTCTGCCAGGTTTTTTTCCTTACCTTGTCTGAATCCCACGCTGCTTATATTCCAAATGGTTTCCAGCATCAGATTAATGTCCCAATTAAAAGGGGAAAATATTCCTCCTTGAGGTCAACTATTTCCTCTACTTAATTGGGCCACTGCAGCTCCTCTTGAACATGGATACAAGAACAGCTTGCAAAGTCAGCAGGCACCTAAGACTCCTCACACTTTCTGCACTTCTGTCAGTCTGAGCAAGTATCACTCTCTGAATACAATTATGAACAGTAACAGCTTTAACAGCCACTCAAGACTGTATTATTCATTTTAAGTTTGCTCTCTTTATCAAACTGCTTCATTTTGATATTTTATGCTACACAGTGTTCCCATGGTTTATATTCTTAGCATAGAAATACAGTAGGAATGACCACAGATGGCTGACTCCCATTCTAGCTATCCCAGACAAACAGTTTCTGGGAGGGAAATGACATTATCTAGTTCCAAAGCTAATTGTTCCTGCACACACATTTTTATTAGGCTTTTCTTCCAGAAACTCACTCCTAATGGTTAGAAATTGCCTTCTAATTTTCAGAAGAAATTAGCGGTCAGCTGATGGTGGTGTTCATGTGCCAGCATTGTCCATTAGCTTATTAGTTTCTCCTCCCAGTGGTGTTTACACTGGGGTATTTTCAGAAAGCAACCACATCTGCTCTCACTTTGTTCTACTGGCTAAATAAACCAGCTTCTCAAATGCTTCCTTATAAACAGACTCTCCATTTCCCCAAACATCTTCTCTACAAGTTTCTGAATTTCTTTTCCACACAGTGAGAACTGCACACATCATTCTAAACAGGACCTCCCTGTGACATATAAGGGATTTTAATACTTCCACCTCTACTAGGCATACCTGGAGCTGGTATTACCTTTTCCTGACCATATCACCTTGATGGCTCAGTATGCCTGTGATCAGACCTAATTCTTCTAGCTTTAAGTTGGAAAATTTTTACTTTGCCAAGCTCCTATGGGTGCCCAGGCATAAAACCTCACATCCTGAATCCCACCTCATTTGGAGGACTGCCGTCTTCATCAGCACACAGCCCTTCCAGCACTGCACTCCGACTTTGCCCTGTACCACCCATCTTGCATCATCGGCAAATTCCTTTAGGACATCAGCACTCAGAGGAGGGAGGTCTAGAGGAAACATTGAAGCAAGTTCAGCCACAAGACCTATTCTTGAAAACCTCCATCAATAACCTTCTTTGGACTTGCATTTCCCTTACTGGAGCAGCACCTTAGAAAGCTTCGCAATCAAGGGAGATTTGTATTGGCGCGTCCTGAAAGTCATCGCCCTGCCCCAAATGACTACTACTAGGCAGGTCATTCTTACTGGTTCAGTGATGTGCCAATTCAATACTTGCAACCACGTGCTTTAAATCAATCCATTTGACTGCCTACAGCATCAACCACTCCAAAGGTTTGAGACAAGCATCTGGTGGAGAGGAAAAAAACGAAGAAAAAAAAAAAAACAAGAAAAAAAGATCATACTACCATATAAATTTCATTCTGTAATTCCAGTTTTATTTCTGTAGAACACCAAAATAAGAATTCAATTTCCTAAGTTGCATGAAAAGCAATTTAGAGAACTACATCAAGAAAGGATTAATTTTTTACCAACATTCCAACTCACCTGATTTTATTCCAGTTAAACTTTTAACTTAGTTGAAATTTTCAGAGAACACTAATTATCTCATGCAATATGTTATTGACAACCTAATCAGGTTGAAAATGGAAAATACAGCATCACTGGCTTGTATTGTCTATGGTAAAAGTTATTACCCGTCACATATTACACAATTTAAAACAAATACACCAGCTCTATGGAATTACAGTGCCTAAAACCACTCAGTCTCTGCAATGAGCTCTGCTATTAAGAGTCATATCAGTAAAGAGTCTGGACACATCTTCATGACCCCCAGAAGAACTTGCTGATGAACACCTCTTCCTGCCCACTTCAGCTGGAGTTTAAAGGAAACATGAACAAGATGACCCACCTGATTCTATACCTTGTAGGCAGCTGGTGATAAACCTAACACAATCATGTCTTATATTAAACTCCCCCTGCACTTGTGCCCCCGTTTTATTCACCCGTTTTCTGTCACAAGGAGAACTGGTGTCTCAAAGGCACTGTGGGGTAGGGGTTGTTCGTTACCTGTACATACGATACGTAACATAGAGCTGGGCCTCCAAACACCTCTAGTAAAATAGCTAAGCCAGCACATTTATTATATACAAAAGCGCCTCCACATCCAAAGCAGCGAAGGCAAAGGGCTTGCTACCACTGTAAATAACAATAGGTGCCATGCAACCACTCTTCTCTATGAATTTCTCTAAACAAAACACACAAGAAAGAGTGTTTTCTAAAACCCAGACCAACAAGTTTGTTCAGTTTCAGAGCATTTCCTCAATATGAAAGGGAAAAGTTGGAGGAAGGGAAAAACAAACACGATGAAAAGAAGAAAGCAGATATAATTAGGAAAAACTCCAGTTTCAGCTAAAATGAATGTCAACGCAAGCTGCGTCCACGTTCAGAAATGAGAAGTCTGACCCCAAATCCAGTTCCACATGGTCAAGGTGCAGATGTAATCCTCTCGAGCTTTGTCCATAGAAAACACAGAAGATATCTTCTACAAGTGAGGGTTACTTTGATAACTACTCATCTACTGCAAATACATTAATCAAAAAGAGTAAACAGTTCCTGCATTTAAGCCAAGCTCAATTTATTAAGTAACAAAGAAGTATCCTTATATCACCATTGTATTTTCCTCCCATTAAAAGTAGAGTTAA